ATATGGTTTACGTGAAGAAACGTGTTATAGTGAATCGATATTTTGTTCAGGAACATTCCATGGTTTCTGAATATTGAAGATAGAGTTGTTTGTACTGATTAAGAGTAGGAGCTTGGATTGCAAATGTTTTGATAACACTTAAGAAGTATGATAAATGATAGAACAAGTAACATGATGAATAATTTTGTGAATATTTGTTCGATTCAAAGATCATCTTGGTTAGTTGAAGGCGGCATCGATTGGAACAAATTAAAGTCGGCCAGATAAGGTGCAACTTTTTGAATCAATCGACGAACACGCTTTGATCTACCTAGAGCTGAAACCACACGGGCTCACTATGCCATTAGTAATTTAGTTCGTCGCGCACTATATTACCATCACAAATAGCGATACTTACTATGTAGTAGTAATGGGCTTCTGGGGATATTGAAAACACATATTACTAAGCTATGCACAGCGAATGTATGGGACCGTTGTCGTGATGTTCGACACGAAGAAGTAAACTCCTAAGGATATGAGTGCATATGTACTTCAAGAAGTGACTCATACTCACATCTCTTCTTTTTGCGAAGCTTTTCTTAAGACTTTTTCAATTGTAGCTGTATCCGAGAATTGTTGAAGACATTTTCGACCACTTCGTTTTACACCATTTTGATTACTTAACAGAATGACATGTGTTTTATGAAATCTGTCAAGCAGATTACCATTTTCAGCAAATGGAAGAAAGAAACCCGCGATGTATAAAGCATGACAGTTTCAACATTTCTTAAAACATTCCACGAATGTTTTATAATTGATACTCCCTCCTTGTATAGAAAGATTCTTCATTCAATTCGGTACATTGTGATGTGAAAGCAGTTTCGAAAGGACTATTTTTCTTACTTGTACTTGTTAATTCAGATTGATATCACTGAGATGTATAACTTATTTTTCTCTATGATATGATCTTTCATAGCACTGGAAACGAGTCGTATAGGTGAGCTGACGAGATCTTCATTGCATCTTCTTGTGAAACTCGCAGACAAATCATCGAGTGCCCAGTGCTCACCAATAAAATGTAGTGAAAACCATTAGTATATTAATCAATGCGTCTGGCCATGATCGAAAAAGTTCTCGTTTTTCAAAATGACAACATGTTCATCGCAATCTCACACTAAAAAGCTTATGAAGTAGTCCCACAACGTGTTCAGAATATCAGAATATTAGATAAACATACATATTCTATGACCATGAATATTTCAAGTTGAGCATTTTCAATTATAATTTAGTAGATACAGCCTGCCAAGAGCTGCAAAAGATTTAACTTACTGATAGCATTCTATTAACTTTTAGAATAACACTTGCATCGTCTATGCGCACAAAAAGCACTGATTTGCCATTTCTGTATGCAGCCAGTAGCGTTGTATGAAAAATTGGTAAAAGGACGGGAATGCATAAGAAATCGAATCGGTTCATCTCGGCGATTTCAAAAGAAGTACACATTTCGGAGCAGAATTTGATGACGAATCGTTTGATGCCAAATTCAATTTATTTCAGAAGCTATTCGATGACTTACGACACAGATTACTTTATCATATTTTTTTCTGCATTCTGACGAGTGTATATTGACAATATGTTTGTCAAAACATTGGTTCGCCTAGCTATAAATAGTCTCATATAGAAGAGCAGAGCCTTCTGCACATATCCTTGTGCGAGCTATCTACAAATAGTAAACATAAGCTGAACTTATGATGAGCAAATCATTTTTCTATCGATATTTTAGGTATGCCACAAAGGTTCAAGCTTGTCAATCGCTTTCAAAATGTCTTTACGACGGGCTTTTCTCTTAAAAGAGAGCGTTCATGTGAAAATAGAGAATTACCTCAGTATACGAGGCGAGTGTGGATGTTGGTGTGGTTCTGAGTGTATGCTTGCTCTTGATCAGTATGCACACTGGCACAGCAACCCACATACCCGTCAACACTCATATCAAAGAACAATCAGTGATATTATTATTTATGTAGAGAATAAACTATGTCCTATTGATTTTTCAGCAATATATTTCAAAATATGAGAAAGAAATAGTTTCTAAATAGCTTTTTAAAAATGATTAATCAAATTCCTTTCGATGCAGAAAGGGCTTAATCAATGAAGGAGAGCTTTTATTCAGATATTTGAAATACACTGGTAATTTATTTACATGAAAGTCTTTTGAAATATGTCCATCACGAATGTCATCTTAACTATGATCACGTCAAGCTTCAACAATATGATAATAGTTCTAAAACAGGCTTTTAATCTTGTTTCGTATTCTATTAATGCTTCGTTAATTAAAATCGGCAAAGTGTTGCTTTTGAATATGAATTTGGTCAAACTATTTTTCACGGAGAAGACAAACACTGCAGTCGAACTAGAACATAAGAACATAATGACATTAAATATTTATATTATTTTGTTTGTCTCATCAAACAAGTCATTTCAGAAAATTACTATTATTATTAATTATTTATATTCACAACCTACTCTGTATCGACTGGATTCGAAGTGCATACATTACGTGAAATTCATACAGTAGTTATTGGATATGTTAATTAGAATTGACTTACTATTAATTTCCAAATCAACAAATAGATCACTATTTCGAAGACTAGCAATTTGCTTTATAACATCAGTAATTAAAAGATTAGCATTAGGTGCAATCGGTGAATGCCACAGCGCAAGCAACATGATGTTATCTTGAAATTCTTGAACAGAAATTCAACAATACTACCGAGAACCTTATACAAGAGATTAGAAAAGATAAAAAACGAAAACAAAAGTAAATATACTGCGCACATTGAGCTTATACTATTTTTTAACTTCGACTTTCCATTGGCACTGATAAATAAATAAATTGAATTATTACTTTGATTATTCTTGTAAGTGAAACCTATAAAAAAATTACTTAGTAAAATAATTAATTGAGCGAACAACTATTGTATGAGCTTTATAGAAAAAAATCTATTTCCGATGATTGGTACGCACAGCACTTTTTATAAATCGAAGTCTTCCTATGGACAGTATTGGTTTCAATGCTTCGTCGATCAAAACATAATCGTATTTAAAAAGATTTTTAACTTGGCATATAGCTAAAAATGACGCACCCATCATTCATTGAGACAAAGATCATTAATCTGTAATAACATCAGCTACTATTTGGCAATTTTCTTCTTGATACCAACCAAATAAGTCGACATTTTGTTGGATAATATATTTTAATTTATGTTGATACAAACAATACAATAAGTTTCGAATTGATCAGTTGACATAGTGCATTGCACTTGTATTAATGCAAACTTTTACATAATTTAGCTAAGTATGATGTACAGAAGACAAACCTTTAACAGTTAAATTCAATATTCAATTGATTCCTTAAATGGTTTTTCGTCTTGGGAGGTATTTATCAAACCGAATATTTTGAGGAAGTGGAAGAAGATAGATTGTATTAGAATGATTAATATTGGCTTTTCAAATCAAATTTTCTATCGATAAAGCGTTTGTATGAACTTCTTTCTCAGAATCACTATTTCAAAGATTAAAAAAATCTAGTATCTATACAACGCAAATCAAAATTGTTTTGACGTTCAGTTGAAATAGCTATGTTCTCGGTAGTTTCATCGTGAACATCTTGAAGTTTTGAAAATGTTTGATGTTTTTGTGGTGTAAGACTGTTATCTATGGGATGATGTTAAAATTCACTGAAGTCAGATATGGTAATATTCATATTTCTTGAGATGAAAGCGATTTTGTAAAGAAAAATACATACTGAATAATTAAAAAAATGTATTCAATGAAATTTCTCGCGGTGTTGCTGAATTTTTTCATCATAACTGAATTCCAATCCATTTTCATACTGTTTGTTTTTCGGCAAAATATTTAAAAGAATATGATAAAAGATTATGAGATAATACGCAGTAAATCTGCAACGGTGTGCTAATCAAAGCAAGAACTAAATAAAAATTATAACCTGAAAAAATGAAAAGGAGGAGTATGGGTGTGGGTGTGAAAGTGAGTTTATGCGTCAGTGAACAGATAATATCCTGAAACCCCACACCCACACTTACATCCATACTCCGGTAAATGATAGCCATGGAACCGAAATAATTTGGATCGATGAGACCATAAATGAGAGCCATATAAATTTCTGTAAGTGTCGCATATTACCTTGTGAAAATTTGGTATGAACATATTCCTGTTCATATCGAATACAGAATCCGCAAACGAAATTATCATTTTCTTCTCTTTTTGTTCGTCTCTAGTTTTTTTTTCGTTTGTGTAAGGTAAGTACTACGTGGATGACTTCACTTTCTTATTATTGTTGTTATTCGCAAATTCATGCTTCATCATCTGGCTACTGATAATTATTAGTCATGAGATAAGAAACCTATTTACATTTAAAAAGAAGTAATATGTAACACAGTTGTCTACATTTACAAACAATTGAAAGTTTTGCTTCTCAGGACAAAGTGTGAAAAAATGTTTCCCATTGGAATACCCGTCGAAGACAAAGAATTCAAAGGTATGATGAATCATCATCATCATCATCATCATGTCCCATAGGCTTAGCGCCCGTTGGGGCCAACCATTTTTACGGGATCAGATTTTTCCACGCCTGTCGGTCTTGTGCGAGGTAGAACAGCTCTTATCCACTGCGTTGACACCACTCTGTTATGTCATCCAGCCATTCTCTGCATGGACGCCCCCGGCGAGATTTTCCTTCCATGTTCGAAAATATTATGTGTTTGATTAATCTCGTATCATCCATTCTNGAAAGCTATTCATAGAATTTAAAAAAGCAGTCTATTCAATAAGACCGATAAAACAGTACAGGATTAATCGTATGAGATTGTTCAAATATATGTTATGTTTCTTTCAGAATATAATAGAATATAAATAAAGAGATTAAAAAAGAATCACAATCTGTAGATAACAAGAAAAGATCAAAGCATTCGATTTTGTTGCCCTGTTTGATGACAGGAATTTTAATTTTCTTGTTCTTCTTGAACCTGATTTTCAGATTGTTCTAACCAAGTAAAAAAGTTTTTCGTTGAGAGTTGAACAACAGAATGTCCTAAAACATAAATATAGATATTTTTACAAAAAAATTTGTTTTTTCTTACCTTCCGTTTCGGATGAATCTGGATGTTTAAGCCATTCTAAAAATGTCTCTTCACTTACACAGTCTTCATCATAGAATATATCGAACAGTAGTCGTGCCATTTCTATAATTAAAAAGAAAATTATCATTTTTAATTAGCCGTATATATCTTTACTAGCTGTATTTTTAACTACAAGGCTAGCCAACTAGATGTATGCTCTGACTATCAACTCGACGTGCTCTACAGTCAAACTCATATCTAACGAAAAGCTACTCGTTTTTTTTTTTTTTGAGTTTCATGAACATGATGAGTTGTTAAATATGAAAGCGTTTCTTTTTCTAAACATACTTGGTGGATGTTCAAGTTTATGAACAAAACTTTGAATAGCATAGACGGCTTGAACTTCAGCTTCTGGTTTATGATCAATGATAGTATTAAGTATTGTCATTCGATGTTTTGCAATATCGCCTTGAATTTTCTTTGGTGAATCAATACTAATTAAGCATGCTTCCAAATAAGATAAAACAATATTTCGTATGTAAAACTTTTTATTCGGATCCATATGCTATGAAAGATTTGCAAGATAGAAAATAAATTTTTAAATAAAAGTAACCGAACCTCACTAATATATGTGATAATTTCAGAATCCGTTACTGTTGTACTTTGATCATTAAAAGATTTAAATAATATAAATAATTGTGGATCAACACGCGGAGAATGATTTTCTTTGGTTTGTGATATTGATGAAGCAATATTATCAGGAGTATCAAATAGCCACTTATATTCATTTGAAAATGACTCATCAATCAGATCAGATTTAACTAAATCGCTCAGAGAAAAACCGGATGCTTGCCAAAGATTTCGAATATGTGATTGAGACTAGAATTAAAATAATTCAAAAGTTCTTTGACTATGTTTTTTTAAGTTTAAAAAAATATTTACTGAATATTCGGTTGCATATCGAATAATAAATTGAAATAATTGTTTCGATTTATCATCAGAAACACATGCAAGAATAGATTTAAGTAGCGCCATATTTGAAGTTGGAGCACTGAAAAATGCACCTGAAAAAATAGGAAAATAATTGCTTTGAAACAAAGAAAAGTAACTTACCAAGAATTTCACCAATATATTGCCAAATAAGAGGAATGTCAACAATATAGTCTGGTGCAGCTTCAACAATCATTTTGAAACTAAAGAAAAACAACAAATTATTTTTCCATTTGATTAAATTTCAAAGATCATATACCCAGAAAGAAAAGATTCCGTAGATAAAATAGTTTGATTAACTCCAGCATCAAGTAAATGTCCGACAGCTTTACGGGCACGTGGTTTAGCTTCTAAAACATTCGTAAATAATTCTCGAATGATAATTGTTTGTTGATCATAGCTTGATGTACGAAACGAAGATAAATCTTCTTGTGCTTCCTATGATTAAAAATAAATAAATGTTTCATTAAATAATCAGTTGATTATAATTTACTTTAATAGGTCGATCAGTTAAATCTGAATAATTTTCAGTATATTCTTCAATAAGTGAATGTACACGAGCAATAATTTTCTCTTCATCCAATGATGTTATCGATGAATCTTGATTAATTACTGGTATTGATTCATTGACTGATGCTTTATTCATTTGTAATGATAAATGATTACTGCTGCTTGATTCATGTGATGCATTACGAGTTGCCTCACAGCTGACGTTACGTGAGCCTTCTTGGGAGTTTGTCATTGACGTCGATGTACTAGCTGTATTTATTTCACCACCTGCTGCTGTTTTACGCAATGATTGTGAAGTATTTTCAAGTGCTAATTCCTAAGCAGAAAAATAAAAATAATTTATAGAACACAAGAAGTTTTATCTTACACGTGATGATGAACGTTGAATTGAATAATCTGAACCGGTTTGTAATGAACTTATTTTACCTCTGAATTGCTGAAATGGACTTGCTGGCGGTTTGCTAGTACTAAATGAATAATTTTCAATTCATTTTGGAAACTTTCAAGTCTCTATTCTTATTTTAGGATTATTTTTATCGATATACAAAAAGAGAATTTTATGCTTTTTGCTCTTACCGTCCAACAAATAAATTATCTTTTTCAGGTTTCTTTCCAACACCTGATCCTTTTGACCATGTTTGTGGTGGTCCTAGACTCATTGCCTATCCAAAAAGAAAAAAAGAAAATAAACAATCTTATCAATCCAAGATATCCTACGAATGATCCTTGATTTTGTTTGTGATTTGATTGTAATTCTCTTAAACTATTAACAGTAAAGCATTTTTTTTCTTGATTTTCTTCATTTCGATTTGATTTCTGTTTCATTCCACTCTCACGTCCAACATTATTTTGTACTGACATACTTCCACCATAAGCATTACCTATAAGAGTACCACGATTTTGTGCAGAACATAAATTACTTCCTTGTTCATGAATTTCATCAATTGTCACCGGTTTAGGCTGATCACGACGTGGAATCCATGCAGCCTAATTGAGAATCAATATAGATATTTATCAAGTAACTCTTCATTGACGCTGTCAAAATCGTTTGCGAAAAGAATATGAGCTCTCATTTTCTTTTTCACTTACTTGTCTTAATTCGATTAGATCTTGAATCATAAAACGAATACGCGATGATGTTTTTTGCTCTTTAATAATAGAATCTAATTTGCGATACTGTTTTTGTAAATTGGATTTATTCATCGGCTAGAAAAACAACAATGATGACAGGAAAACGAAATCAAAATCATCAACAGACTTTTTCATTCGCTTTTGCATCAAGTTCTTTGCCAATAGTACGTAGAAGACAACATAAACATTCAAGACTTTCTTCATCAGTTTTATCACGAAGTAAATATTCAATACAATCATACATAATACTATCAGTTAACATTCGTAATTTAAATAATTCACCAATAAAACTAAAACGAATAAAGAACAGAAGTTTTTTTTATACTTAGTACTATTAACGAAACCCTCGACATCTCTCAATCAGATGAATTCGAAGAAGATTATTGTAAATTCGATCTAAACCTTTATGTTAAATTGTGTTGCTAGATCTATCGAAATCACAAATGATTTTTATACTATTCAGAAAGTTTTAGCATAAACATATTGATAATTTTATATAATCGTCAACACCAGAATTCTACAAAAATACTGATCTCGCATTTTTGTACATATTACCATCCTAAAAACCGGTGTTATTGAAAAGAAGTTTGTTCTTCTCGACTAAGCGGCAACCTTCTTTGCTTTTGTGAAACACAATCTAAAAGAAGTGTTGAAGATTGCGGTTAATACTTTAATATTTTGCTTAAATATAGCTGGTACTTCGTAGCGATTATGTACGCTTATCCAGTCTTACTTACTAGAAAGACTCCTGAAAAATGAAGTTTTCGACTGTTGTTTAGCAAAAATGAGAGAACAATTATTTTTCATATACTTGAAATAATTATCAATTATGTATTATATAAATATGCTATGGACTACTAATTACTCTCCAAAAGCCTAAAGTAGATTATCATCAATAATTTGTTTCCAAATTTTCAATCCTTACATAAAAAAAGTAATAAAGGTGCAAATTATACATCATTTTAGTTTTTATTCGATATTCATCTTAATGTGCGAATTACTTAAATGTAAAATCTTAAGACTTTTAAAGAAAAGTTCACTGTTTGGTTATAGTGGAGCACAAATACGTATATGTCAAACATCTTTAAAAAAACGATATATGCTTCAGTAGTTTATTACTTGAAAGAATCTTCTTGATAGCAAATTTTAAACACCTTAGTAAGTAGATGATGCATACAAATCAGAAGAACTAGAGTTTTGCTTATAAGAAGGACAAAATAAAGCATATTTGGTAATCTAAAATTTTTAGAAAGTCATATAATCTCTGACTAGGATTTATTTCACCATTGTATTTTTTTCTGATCATACCGGCCGTTTATGATCTGATTGGTCAACATTACTCATAAATAACAGTCAAGTTCCATTAATAGTTTTAGTTAGGTAAATGCTTACATAGAAGACACAATTTCTCATTTTGAAATTTTTATTTATGCATCATACAATATTTTGAAAATGTACCAAGCGGGATGAAAAAAAAGTGCCTAAACTAGAGTTAACAAAATTTTGAAAAACATTCATCTCTAATTCAAATGTCCAGGTTTGACACAATTCTACGTAGTTATGACCATTCTGTGATATGTTGTGAAATGTATTAAAATGAGTTTCCAAATATTTCATATTTTCTGAAATTCTGTTTAAAACCTAAATTTCTCGATAATCATAGTATTCATTGCAATCTGTGTTAACTTTTATTATGAAAATTATTCACTTCCACTAGTATTATCTGCCTCGAACGAAATTTAATAAGATTGTGCAACTCGATGTATTTTTACGAACAGAAAAATTATAAAAGTATGAAACAAATCGTTTGCATCCTCGAACAAAAATCTTGTTTCCTCTATTTTTTTATGATGCCATATATTGCATCAAATTCATTACTGAGTAAAGATTTGACATGAGTTTTATTAGTGTGATCTGTAAACTAAAATGAAATAATACTTTCATATCATACCTCTACCCAGTAATGAATAAACTATAAAGTTTGACTTCATAATAAGATAAAGAGTGAAAAGTTTTCTGTTCTGTAGTATACGTCTTACAAGGGAACATTTACATGATTTTTTTATATATTTAATTTCTAAGAAACAGTCAAAGAACCGATTTTAAATAAAATGGCAAATAGAAAACCTGAGGTATGTGCACGTGTACTGTTTATTTATCTATTCGAAAATGAATAGACTGAAAAATGAGTGATCACTGTATAAAAATTGCCAAAACATTTTGATAGAAGGTTACATTTGATACACTAAACCTCGATAAAGGTTTAAACGTGCGTTTTTGCTCATCCACTGAAGGTAGATGGTGACATACTCTACGAAATAACAGATTCAGACTTGAATTGAATTTTCGGGAGAATTCGGAAAAAAAACTGTAAGTTTTTGATCACATTATAGCCTAAAGAAATTCAAAAAGTCCAAGTAGTCTGTAATATATAGCACTGTATAACTTTATAATAACTAATGATTATAATTAGATTCTCAATTTAAAACATACAATTTACTTATCTGATCCTATAACTGATATTCAACAATTTTATGTACTCTGTAGTACCTGCTGCTTAAGAGACACTCACTATAAAGCAACACCCAGAATACACTTAAATACAACACCATAGTAGCTTCAATGCTATCTAGGATATAAGCTGAAATCTCGAAAATCCACTTTGTCATCTGACTGTCCACTGCACCTCCCTTCAGATCGTGATAGATGTTTTGGACACATGATTAGTGATCAGAGATCACTAGTATCTCATGACAATATATAAACTTCTTCTTCCTTACAGTTCTAGATGATTAAGTAAAAGATGAAGAAGAAACGGGTCCAAAAATAGATCGAATAAAACAATATTCTTGTGGCTAATAACAATAGCTATATCATTTTTCATATATTAATCTCGCAGGGATTGCACTAAAAGCTTTTCTTTGACTATTCCATAAATTATACTCTTGAACTTTCAAATATTTTAGTATATTAGGTCATAAAGCATAAATAATCACATATCGAGCCAGTAGTGTGTTTAAGTGGAATGACAAGTATTTTGAAAAAAGGCACCATTGAATTGTCATCATTGCGAACATCGGTTAAATGGGAAAAAAATAGACAGTTGATTTTTCTGGAACACTTGATTAGAACACAACAAGATACAATATATTAAGATGACGTCACTAGGATCTTTGTACGTGTATATGTATCAAGACTTTTCTACATTGGGCAATTGCCCAATGACCGTATCCTTGCTACGCCATTGTTTGATTGATTTAATCTATACTTACAAAATATTGCCTAGTTTTCTTCGTTTAGCTTTAATGAGATCTTCTTCTAATTGTTCTTGTTCTTCTTTATTTTTTTTTTCATCTATACTAGCTTCAATTTCAACTTTACGCTTTTCATATTCAACTTCGTCTCTGTAATCATTTTCGAATTCATTTTGACAACGTGTTAATAAGATTTGACGAAAATAATGTGTTGCTGTTTTACCATCTTCAGCTGATACAGTGACTTGTTTCTAAAAGGAAATAATTCAAAAAAATAATGAATTCTAGAACAGTACAGCGTACATTTTGAAATTGTTTACATAATTTTGCATAAAGAAAACAAAATCCTGGTTCATCAACAGCCTAGGAAAAAAAATAAAAATGATTTCAATTAATTTTTATTAATTAACTAAAAACAAAACTCTTACTTTGGCAAAAAATATCTTTATCATTCCTTCTAATCTTTCATAACGATCAATGTCTAATGCTTCAAGTTTTTCCTGTAATTTATCATATGTTTGTGGTGTTATTTTATTTAATATGGATTTAATATCACGTAGAACTCTATCATTAGCATCAATTTTACTTGTATTGGCTGGTTTATATGGATTTTCGACACGATTATCAAAATCAGGTTCAGTTTTTAAATAAACTCCTGTTTTACGTTTTGAATCACTTAGTGAATTCTGTTTATTTGTATAACGTGTTAATGACGGATGATTACTTGATAACATCTTTCGATGACATTGTGGATTCATATGTCTGTCACTATTCGTACCCTTATATAAATGACGTGAATTATTATTATTATTATCACATCGACTGAGAACAGCTTCAAGATCAGGAAGATCAGGTGGAAACGGAAATGGTCCTAAATTATCACGAATACGTAAAAGTTCAAGACGACCATAATGCAAACGCTGTTTTGGTGCTACTCGAGATTCATCATTATCGATTATTGCTCTTGTTTCTATTGGGACAGATTCTAACGGTGCAGATTGTGGTTTCAATTGATTTGAATTAACTTCCTCATTGGCCACCAATATTTGATCATCATGATCCTAAATAGTAATGAAGCAGAATTTCGATAAAACATTTATAAGGTTTCTTCGTGAAAGTTTTCTTTTATTTACTATGATTACCGTACAAAAAATCTTTTGTTGTGTTCTCACATGAAATAAATATAGATGATCATGTGTGTTGAGTCGGCGAGTAACCAGACAAACTCAGGATGAAGCAAAGAAAAGAAAGAATTGTATTGGCTAAATGTGATGCAAATACAAGGTTTGTTTGTTTTTTCCTTTTTTCATATCGAACACTGATGAAAGTATTAAAATTTGTTCAATTTGCGATATTATAATTCGAGGGTGTGGCTGTGAGGAGTAGATTTACACCTACACCTTCATAGCACCGATAAGAAACAAGACAATAGCCTGCATATCGTTTTCATTTTCGAAATGAAAATGTTAAAACAATGACGGAATAAAAGAACAATTGGTTACGAAAAGAAACTATATAGCGAAATCTATTAATAGTAAATAGAAAATATTCATAGTAAAATGCTGATATTTACTTTTGTTTCTGAATTATTATTATTATTATTATCATTTGCTTCTTCAATTGGCTTGAATTCTGGTTGTTTTTGTGTATCAGTTCCATCACGTTCATCATTAGTATCATCTTGATTAACTTCTGCTATTAATTTATCATCAGTAAAATTTCGTGTTAGTATACCCAGATGATTTGGTTGTAGTTGTTCAGATATTTTACTTGATACTGTGGATATATCATTTAATGGTATAGATATCGGAGATTTTGCTCGTGTTATTGAACCTGATTGAGATGATGATGTTGATTGTTGATTTGTATTCTAAACGAAAAATGTAAAAAAAAAGGATTCTTTTGTTATCTTCATACGTACCTGATCTATTTGAGCATCAGAGCTATCGGCTAATCTGTCAAAAACTTTTCGTCGAAAATCGGCTTGAATTTGTGCTTTAGTGTTATTAATTGTCGGCTTGGGATTTGGTATAACTGAATCTACAATTATCGATTCTACGGAAGGTGTTTCATGTGATGATGTATATGTCGTTTGTGTGGTAGAAAGTACAACTTCTTTATGTGACTCTGGATTAATAATGGATAGTGGGTGTTTTTGTCGTTTCTCGTGACGTACTGATTCTTCGTGTGGATTTGATTGTTGACTATTTTGTGGCATTGCAGGCTGAAATGTTGAGACAGTTGATTGATTAATCTATAATAATAACAATCAAACAACAAATAAGTTGTTTTTTTAAATCTGTCTACTAGTGATACCTGAGTTGGTTCTTGAAAATTAGGATTTATATATGAAGTTGCCTGTGTTATTGAATAAGCTATTGTTAAAAAAGATATGAAAGATATTTATTTATTTCTGGTCAGAAGGGAAATTTACGTGGAAAAAATTGTTGTGGATAAACAGTTGATGGTGGTGGAAGACCATTGTATCCAGCTGGGTATCCTAGTTGAGACCCATGTTGTGGGATTAAAAATGAATCATTAGGCATAGCCTCATTCGGTGGTCGAATAAAATGTATCGCTGAAGGATTCTAAATGAATAAAAGATTAGATTGTTAATTTTATTTTCGCTTTCAAAGACTAACAATTTGTCGTGGATTATTTGGAGGTATGCACACATTTTGTGGAAATGTTTGAGGATAACCATTAGCCATTCGTTGATTGATATACTAACGTATCAAAATAATTTATTGCAAGAAAAGATTGAATAAATTTTAATTTACTGGTGGGGAATTCATTCGTAGTCCATACGATTGTGGATTTCGTACTATTACGTTATGTCCTAGAAAAAAAAAAGAATTTATTTAAAAACAGATCTGAAAATTTTATTTTGCTTAGATCTATACTATTATTTGACATGGAATAAGGACCTGGTTGAGGATGTGGTGATTCTGCTGGAATCATAGAAGATGGTTGTTGATATTTATTAATCATAATTGGCTCTAAATGGTAATAAAAGGAGATTGAGTTACGAAAACTTTAAAATTCGAGCAAAGCGACTGTCAAAGTCAACTGCAACAGGAGATGACTTCTCTATTGCACCATTTCCTACTTAGTTGTCTACCAAATATTAATTTGTATTCCTCATAAATAAAATGAAGTTTATTTTTTAATTTTCTAGATTGAAAAAAACTTTGTTTCATATTAAACTTTGTTGCCGAAAAGAAGGTTTAGGCATACACTTTTCTCGTACATCCATAGGATTCATCCAAAAAGCGAGGAATTTCACAACAAAGACTTTAGGAATCTAGTCGTAAAGAAAGCAACTTACTTCGTATTGTTTTTCACTCGAGAACTAAACACTTAGATATTAAAATCTGGAAATCCAATGAATTTATAAGGGAAAATTTTATAAAAAAAGATCTGGGAACATTCCGTATCATTAGATATCTTCTCGAAACCGTTTTCAATGTTTTTTTTCATTGTTCTCTACGTGGAATTAATTTAGTCTGCTGGTTTTCCTGCTATTTCAGGCACATGTTCTGAAGTTGTAAAACAGGCTAACAGTCATCTTCATGATAATGATCTCTCAAAGTTACTCAATCATCATCATGTCAGTAGTCTAATGATAAATATAAAAAGAAAGGAATAAAATTCGAGACAGTACGAGTACATTATTCAATTTATTTTGAAATATATCAGTGCTTGATTTTTCACTTTGCGTTTGACCTTCGCTAACTGAATTCATTAGATTCATAGTAAAGGTATATTGAATTTGTTACTCTATCTTATATTGATAAGTCAACTGTGAGAAAAGAAGAAATAACCTGCTTGGTATGTCTTATTGCTAAGTATATAAAATTTCAACTTGTCTCTTGTTCTTCTCAAATCTTCCTTATAGTCTACTCACCTCAGTCAAGTGATTGAAATTGAAACATACTGGGTAAAAAAAACTACTAGGTAATTTCAATGATGTTTTATTGTCGACTGGAGATTTTTTGCTTCACATTTTTTGGGTTTTTTCTTTTCGAATGACTCATGTTTTTACTTGTGCAATAAATCACGTTTTTATATTCTGTTTGCTTATTATTTTTTGCTTCCATTTTTCTCTCACCAAACAAATACATTTTTAACGATACTGTCAAGCTCAAAACTTGAATTCAACTTAAAACATTCTGCTCAAGTTTCAATTTTAAACTTGCCAGCATCGCTCGCCGTACCCTCCGTTAGAGTTTTATACCTTTACTTGAAGGGTGTGGGTGCGTGTGGGTCTGGGTCTGGGTGTGAATGAAGGAAAGAAGTACGCCCGCACCCATCCACACCCACACTCCACAACCCACTACATCATTTTTCACATATGAATTCCTTAGAGATAATGATAACACCTTTTTAAACAAAATATTACATACGATTGTCTGCAGATGATGAGAGAAAAAATTTAGATATGATTTGTTGCAACCATCTCAAACATAATCAAATTTAAAATGAATGATTTATAATTTGTTGTTCTTTGAGATGTAAACTAGTATTTTTTTTATCTGATAGATTATTCAAACATTATTTCTGTTTCTTTTCTTATTTAGACAAATTTACAGAGTTGTTTACAGAACTTCAAACACACTTAACATCTCTTTATTAATGATGGTAAAAAATAACAAAAATTAATAAAAAAAAAAAAAAGTCAATGTTCAGACAAACCACATATTATTTTGAATTTTATCATTTAATGTCATAACTTTAGTTTCAATATCATTTAATGAAATATTTTCTGTTGGATCAAATTCATCACCACTAAAATAAAAATTGAAATAAACAAAAAAGCAAAGTTCTTTCACTAACACTTCTTCATTATGATCAAGATCATCACCAAATTCAAACATACGAGCTGCATATGCTGCTAAATCTGCATAATGAACTGGGGCTGGAATTGAGACTGATTTTGTACAACGAGCATCTGTATGACATAGCTATTTTTAAAAATTTATACAACATTCATTGAATAAATATGTTTAGTTAAAAAAAAAACTATACTCAATAAGTAAGCTGTTGCATATCATCACTACTAAAATCATTTTCATTATGAAGAACATGATAAAGAGCTGGACGAGAGGTACCCATTCTATTAGTAAATGAATTGAATTTAATTATTTTAATATGCAAATTGAGACTTACATAGCTGCTTGTAAACATAAATAAAAGTCAAATTGTGATGGATGTGTTATATCTTGATCAATAACTGTACCTGATTCTATAGAGTAGATTGGGGCTATTCTGAACGCACTTTCAAAAACTGAGGTTTCAAGTTGTATAACTCTTTTATTTTTTATCGCATTTGAGAAAAAAAATACTGGAACGTAGACTGAAATGTTCTGTACGTGTTGATCTAAACATCTATAAAAGATACCTTTAGGAAATTGTTCATCACCTGTTTTCCTAGAAGCTCCGTCGTTTGTTCAGAATAGCCCCGTTTCGGTTTATTATGAACACTTGCTGTATAGTATGGGGCAATTATGAACATAAACTAGACATAGCGGGGCAATTATGAATGCTAAGCTAAAATGCTTATAATATTTGAATTTTAATACCTGATCACTTTTCAAGTGAACTTCACGTCAGGTTGAAAAACTTCTGCAGAAGAATTAATAGCGAATGAAATTATGAACAATCCGATACAAAATTGTATGTCATAGGAATAAGCAATAAAATAATGATGTAACATATATGGGTGTGGGTAGTTGTGTGTGCACATGGGGGAGGGGGGTGGTTGGAGAGATGTACATTAACATCCACACCGACCCACACCAACACCCACACCCACACCCACACCCTCAATAAATACGAAATCTAGTCATATTAAACTCAAGTTTACTTTGATTAATATTTATTTAATTTCTTAAGAATAGATCGATGAGTCTCCATAAAAATAAAATTTTTATCTAAAGATCGGAAGGATGAGTTGAAAAAAGCTTTTCTTTTTCCGTTTATCTTGGATTATTTCGATTGATAATGAGTCACATTAGTTTGTTTTGGCCTCGTTTAATATAGAAAGATAGAACAAATTGAGATGAACATAAATGTAGGTGTAAAAGAAGATAAAACTTACATCCACACCGTCTTGATTGTTAATAAAAAGAAAAGAAGCCTGAATTATTTATTTATTTATTTCAATAAAAATTTATCAACCAATTTATATTAATTGTGAATATCAAAATAATCTTGAATTGTTCCATGAATAACTAGATGAAAAACTAACATTTGAGATTTTTTTAATACGTTGAATACCTTCTAATGCCATATGAATAAGTTTAAATTGATTATTGATTGATGTCGATGAACGAAAGTAAATTCTATCATAAAGTTAAGGTTTATCATTATTAGTTATATTTGAATTTCATTCTGGATCAATAAATTGTATATGTTTGTTTCAAGTTGTTGATCTGCCATTTGCCATAAGTCATTAAGATTAACTAGTATTTTCATCAATTCGTGGAAATATTAATATATATAACGATATGATTTGAATTATTCGATAAATTTAAAAACAAAAATGCAATCAGAACTATAAGTTGAATTCAATTTTTTTTTCCATTTTCAATACCAATTTTCTATTGCTTTTGTCAAGGAATGTTCGAAGTTTTATGTGACATGATTTGCTCTATAATTCCAGTCTGACTTCTATGATAGCCTCTTGAAAACTTTTTACAGAGTTCTAATCCATTCCATTCTGTAGGACTATCATCTTTGGATAAAGCTGCATTAGAATATTTTCAGTTTTTTACTTCATTATATCTGTAAAATAAATTTACTACATCATCCAGCTATAATTTAACAAAACCAAGTGATAATTTTATTATGTGAAAGAGAACTTGATCTACGTTATTTCAATATTATAAATTATGTATATCTATTTGAAAAAGTTTTCCAGTGCATTATTTATTTTAAAAAAAAGTTGCAAAACCCCTGAACTTCATCATAATAAATCTGATTGCTTTTCTACAAGCCTTAACAAAGCTTTGAATATTCATCTGTCCAACAGACAAAAGAATCCTGAAGTATGGTTAAGCAATGATGAACGTATTCACATTGTTTTTACACTCGGAGTTTTTGAGACATCCTGTACGATAAAATTTAAAAATATCACTTGTTAAACTCATTATCATGACCAAATAATGTTTTTGTCTTGAGAGTGGGATGGGTGTGGAGTATGGGTGGGTGTGAATTCTTCAGCCATCACTAGTAAAACCACATCCCGATTTATTTTTAATTTTGCAATTGTCACGTAGGGACAATACCTTCTCACGAATTTGATAACGATGAGTAGATGTTGCTTCACCCAGAGAATCGATTGCTAAATATGCACGTGATCTCATTGAAACTATCTTGTAATAATGAACGCAGATCTATTCAAGAAACCTCAAACATACTGTTTTATACTACAATTTGGATTATGTCTCTAAAGAAAATATGTCAATATTTGAACTACCACAGATAAAACCAACAATAGTAGATTCTTTCTTTTTTCTCTTCTTCATTCTTTCTCTTTTATTTTTTCTTAGATGAGTAATACTAAACAAGAAACTCTTACATGTGAACTTTCAAATGAATTAAAGAAAGACGAAGAAACTATCACAGATTGCACTCATCCCTGTTTGCATGTGTTTTATTTTTTGTTCTCTTGGTTTATTTGCAACTAACAATGTTAATAGAACATTTTTGTTCTTTGTATTAGAAGTAAATTATGAAAAAATATCACATTTTTGTGAATATTTGTGTCATAGTTTCTTTTTTTTATGAATGACGCAAGTAGACCATAGGAACAACTAACTTGTTATAGGACACTCTATTAAAATGTTCTTCAAATTTCTTTCTTCTTCTCGTCGATTGATGATATTTATTGACGCACGGGCTTAAATTTCAAAATGTCAAATAAACGAAAGAAAGAATAACTAATTGTCGTTGACGTCATTTTCTCACTGATTTCTTTTGGTTGTGGGTGTGTGGATGTGGGTGTGGGGTGTGGGTGTGGGTAAAGAGAGAACAAATAACAACGCCCACAAGCACCCAGCACACCCACACCCACAGCCACATCCACACACCCACGCCCATACCCAGTTGGACTACATGTTTGTTTCGCTTATCAAAAATGGTTTTAATTACTTACCTTAATAAGGTTAGATACAATCTTTTAGAGAACTGTAAAACAAATCTTTTAAATTAATTAGGTAAAACTGATAAAAAATGCTAAAGTTATCTCCAAAAATACTGAACTTGCCATTCTTTATGCAGCATCTGTTATTTTTAGCACTAATCATTTAATATCTATACTGACGACTTACATAACAACCTTCCCGATATGCCTTCAAACTTTATCGCCGAATATGAACTCTTGAACAAAATTGAAATGGTTAATGTCCTGTATTTGTATATGGACACCAAATGTATTCTACCGAACTGTCGCTCAGTGATATCATCAATTATCACACAATCGGATGAAAAAAACATTAAACTGCAATAAAAAATTTTTTCCAATACATTAAACCAGCAATGAATGTCCACAAGAAAACACCATAGAGACTCACTGCCATTAATTTAGCGTGAGTTTTTTCTACACACATTTGAACTGGAAAACGATGTGATAAAACAATATGACCGATATAGATTGTAATAGAATTCATACCCAGCCAAAAGAATGGCGCACCGGTCAACCACCGACGAACATCAATGAACAAATAGAATATAGTCAATATAATAAACGCCAAGCTAGCATTGATCAGTACGAATGTAAGTGACCAAAGATTTTTGTTAATAGGAATCCATCCATCAGAATGTCCTCCATTGGATAAAATTAAGCCGAGAGTACCACAAATAACGGCTGACACAATCCAATGAATGCATACATTACGACAACACTTTGAGTGAACAAAACTGTGACCAGCTTGCACGCCAAGATAACAAAGAAGAATACTTGTTAAAGTGCCTAGGGTGCCTACATTAGCGTTTTGGTCAAAGAACAGGGGAAATTATTCACTGAAAATCATTTCAATTTATTACCTTCCGGGTTGAATGGCATATGAGTATCATATATCCATCTACATGTCCAGCAGCGTGACATTTGACTATCTTTCAAAAATAACCGATCAATATATCCAGCGGCGCCTTCAATCAATGGAATTAGAATAGATCAGAAGAAACTCAAGGCATATAATCCTATGTACCTCCTGTACAGTTTTGATATTTCCAATGGTCATGTTTACCACCGGGCCCTAAATAACCTTTTGGACAACCAGGCACATGTAGTTGAAAGATGATGAGAAGCCAAATAATAACTATCAGAAGAATGAAAAGCCATTGTAGCCAGAATTGAAGAACAGCATCAGACAGTTCAATAAACCATGATCTTTGGATATTCAAACCTTTGACAAAAACAAATTTTAAATGACACACTATATTATTATCCTACCAATGCGCGAACGTCTTGTGCTTGGCTCATCATGGTTTTTGTCAATGAAAAGAACTAACAATGCTGTAAAAAAATAACACAATGCTAATCGTTGAAGAACACCAAAGATGATGATGTGGTCTAACCAAGGTTCTTCATCTTGAGTGATATAACCTGAATAGGAAAAAGACAATACCTGACAATGAAACGACAATCATATATTTACCAAGCAGAAATAGAATGACTGTACGTCGACAAATTTTCAGTAGAATGCTTCTCTTTCGAGTTTTTCTTGCAAATAATGATCGTTGTGATAGTACAATTGAAATACCAATCATCCAAACAAACCAAGGCATTGCAAGATCAGCTAAAGTTAATCCATTCCAAACTGAGGGAAAAACAGAATTGTGTATAGAAAAAGAAAAATCATTCAAGTAACTTACCGGAATGTTCAAAAAATGAATAACCACCACCTAAAAACAAACAATGCCAATCTGGCTAAGTAATTAACAAAGAATGAACGTACTATTGTAATTGACAAAAAACATAATCATGAGTGAAAGCCCTCGAAATGTATCCAGAGCTCGAAAACGTTTTCTTGCAACATTACTAGAGACCTCAGATTTTGTTATTGTGGAACTCGATTTGTCCATAGGAAAATTTTTAGTATATTTCATAGAATGTACAAGACTTTCATCAACTTCACTAGAAATCCTAGTGTGTTCGACTCTTGGAGCATTTTCGGGTGAGTTAAAATGGTTGATCAATGGTATTGACTCTTGAGGGTTGCTGATTGAACATAGATTCAAAATTTTCTTTAGAAAATTATCAAAACGATTACTTCGGTACATGTAGCATAATACTTCAGTTATTATAATAAATACAAAAAAAAGTACAAAGCCAACAATAGCAGGTAACCAATAATGACTGGGCTTTCCGATCCGTGTTATTGAACAAGTTTCGCTGCCATTTTCTATTCTTTGTATTACTTCGAATAGATAAGTACCATGTTCACTGAATTTGTACCACGTGAAATCACAATTCAATGGGGAATTTGAGGATAATGATCGCAGTTCAAAATTATACGCATACTCTGTGCTAATGTTAACAGTAACATTCGAATGTACTGGGACAATGGCCATTTGCTCAAAATCACAGCCTTCACAAATAATCATATTGCTAAGAAATACGATTGCATCGGAAAAGTTTTTATTGCGCATGATCAAATAGGCTTCATCCATTCCCAATTCTTTCAAGTGAACGACAGTGAAAACCAAACCAAAGAAGAGAACTATTGCATAATAAGAATACAACATCACTATGTGCCGATGACCATGAAAGTGTAAGTTGTGCCCTTGTCAGCCTTCGACTTTGAAAACACACTGTTTCGTATTTGTTTTTCGTTCTGTAGAAGAAAAAGTTATTACTTCATTTTTGCATACAAAATCTTATCATCTTTAAATGAAGTTACCGAAGAAAAGATAATAGCAGAGACTCAACTGGTCCTGATAATGCATCACTTCAAGAGTATTGTTTTTCCAAAATATGACTCCGCACACATCGTTCCATGGTTGGGTTGGTGTCTTTCATTTTGAATGAATACTCAACTCTGCTACTGAGAAGGTGAAATACAATTTTATTTCCTATTTAACAGGCGCCCCTAATGAGGGCGTGTATGAGTCTATATAGATGGAAAATGTCAAGTGCTATCCGAATATATGATTATTTTTTTAAGAAGGTATCTTTATAGTGATAAAAAATTTAAAATACTAATTCGGCTTTATTTGAAAATTGAGTTTTGAACAACAGACCATGGGCACTTATTCTTTTGAGGCTTTCACGGTCTCATCGAGATCTACTTACACTGATAATACGGAAACATAGCTCGCGAGGTAGTTGAAGCGGTTTCCTCGTAAGTCATTTTCATGGATGCAAACCATTTGTCAATGCACTCTATCGAAGAATTGATGACTTGCATATTTGATACCAATCAATAGATATCGAGGAATTGATAAAGAATTCATACGGCCGAAGTCTCAATTACGACTTGGTGATCTGAAATATAACGAGAATGAGAGAAACATTCACGAAACCACTAGAATATGTAGGACAGAAAATTACATTAAGAAGTTGGTTTTCAAAGTTGGGAACTTTGAGTAAAATTTGTTTCGTTGAGTCTTATCAAATATCGTATGTCATTGACGTTAATTGAAAAATGCAGTTTTCTAGAGAATCAAACAGCGCATCTTTCGGAAAAAATTATTCCGTTACGTGGGTGTGGGGTGTCGGTGGGTGTGGAGTGTGGATGTGTGGCTATGCGTGTGTGTGGGTGTGAGTGTGGGGGTGTGGGGTGTGGGCGTGGGGTGTGGGTGTGGGTGTGGGTGAAAATGATATGAATGCCTACGCCCACACCCGCGCCCACACCCGCGCCCACACCCGCGCCCACACCCGCGCCCACACCCACACCCACCCCACTTAAACCCACACCCACACACACCCAGACCCACACCCACACCACACACACCCAAAAATCCATTTTCGTCTCAGAACAACCTATCTGACTGAAAATCTCAGAAAATATGTTTGCAAACGTAGAAAGCTCACGGTAAAACTTGAGCTTTGCAAATACGAGTTTCTTTTTTACTTCGTAGAGCCATTCACGAAAGGTTAAATTGAGGAAGTGCATGAAACACACTTGCTAGAATATGCGGGATATGTTTTTTAAGTCCGTAGCCTTCAGGTAAAGTCACAAGACTTCGAAAGCTAACCTTTGACAAAAATTTTCTGCTGGTAAGTGTTTCAAAAAAATGTCTTGGAAATCTGGAGAAAAACCATCAGAAAATCTCTAAAAACAATAATCATATTGGAAGTAGAAAATGTGGTCAATTTGGGCATGCGGAGTACTCAAAAATCGATATTTTTCATCAGAAGGCCTTAAGAAAAATCAGAAATTAATACTTTGAAAATTGATTTATATGTTTTGGTTTTAACCTCATTAAAATTTAATTGAATAAAAATAAAATAAAAAATTTTTTTAAAATTTTTGTTTTACTAAGTATAATCAATTTCGCAAAAAAAGAAAGAAGAAAAGGGATAGATAATCAATGATATGCAAATCGTACACTAAGGGCATCTTTGTCAAGAAGTGAGAAGGAAGGCGAATATAACCAAACTATGACTGCAAGAGTTTGTTGAAGTATCATAAGATAAGAAAAGTAAAAGAGAACAACAATAAGATATAAATTTACGAATAAGCTACGGAACATATTACGACTATGTTAAGCAGCAGAGGGTATTTGACAACCTTTAGAGCCGTGATTACAATTAGGCCCATTGGTTCCTGTGAGTTTAACTTAAATTTAAATGGATTTAGGTTGATTTAAATTGGATTTATATTTAAACCAAATGTAAATTTGCAAGAATTTATTTTTAGATTTAATGAATTCTTGTAAATGTACATCGATCACTCTTAATTACGATTCGTAGTAGTTTTTTCAGGCGACTGCTAATCGTTAGTAATCTATATCAGACATTAGTAAAACACAAAGTAATGTACTCTTGAATTTCCTAAATGAATTTCTATAGAATTTTTTGACAAGATAGCAGCCAGAAAATATTAGAACGGTCCTGAGTAGTTCGAACACAATGTACTCGTTCTTCATTAAATCAGAGACGCTTCTGACAGATTTAAGGCACCTGATTACATCCATTCACTAAATATATTTTAAAAGTTACTGAGAGCTATTATCGAATTTCAATATTCAACCATTTATCGGTATGTAATAACTCGACAGAAATGCGTGACTTTGTATCAGTTAATCATCAACCAATTTTGCAGCCTAACGTTGAATAAAGCTAAAAATTTATTGTCAATTAGGAGAACAAATAGGCGACCATAAATGCGAATGAGATAGACTGCATTGCTACCAACAGAAAAACACTATTATTCTGTTTTCGCTTGTATTTTACTAACTCATGTAGTTCTGAATAGATTCTACATGTTGTAACGATCGCTGGTTTTTCATTTATTTTGTTTAAGTTTTTTTTTTGCTGCCACATATTCTTTTGTAGATTAGAGATTCAAAAAAAAATATTATATTTTTCTTAAGAATGACACTAAAAATAATTGGCGCTGGCTTCGGACGTACTGGCACGGAAAGTACGAAAACTGCACTCGATTTACTCGGTTTCAACTGTTATCACATGATCGAAGTAATCAAAAGAGGTCGCACGTCAATACCACTGTGGATAAAAGCTGCTGATGATCCATCCTTAGCTGAATGGGAACGAATATTCGATGGATATGACGCCACAGTGGATTGGCCAGGTGCTTATTTCTGGAGAACTTTGATTGAATATTATCCGGATGCTAAAGTCATTTTGAATGCTCGCGATGCTGACAAATGGTATGACAGTGTTAACAATACTTTGTACAAATTTAGTAGAAGTTTCATATTAAAAATCGCAGCAAAACTGAATCCAAATTTGTGGTACATGGGTAAACTTACAAATAACATTATATGGAGTGGAACATTCGAGAATCGATTTCCAGATAAATCATATGCCATCGAAAAATACAACTCGCATAATGACGAAGTCAAACGTATTGTTCCGAAGGATCGGTTACTTGTATTTGATGTCAAACAAGGGTGGGCGCCATTATGTAGATTTCTAAACCTTCCCGTTCCTGATATACCGTTTCCGAATGTCAATGACAGAAAAAGTCTGGAAAAGAGAATCGCAGGCATGAAGAAAGTAGCCTATGTGCTATTTACATTAATAGCAGTGATCCTCGCAACTATAGTCTTGCACTATTTTCATTAAACACTAATCTAACGATATAATTATGATTATTTCATTAAGTTATACTAGTAAATAATAACACATTGTCTATATTTTGTTTGTTGCATTGCATGCTGCCATGCATATGTCACCTGGAGAATATTTTTTAGTGTCGCTACACTGAAAGGGTGTAAGTGTGGGCGGGTTTAGAGCATGAGAAGTGGAGTGTGAGTGGGTGGCTGTGCGTATGGATATTTTATTGGAATACATTCTCACCAGAGCTAGGACAAGTACAAGTGCAGCAGGTTAAACTATTTCACTTGTAATTGTACTCAAGTATGCAAAAAGAGTATTTATTTTGTATTGTTATGTGATATATAAACATTGAATATGATTTGTAATGATGACCAGTGTGTGGGTGTGCGTCTAATTGAGGCTCCTCGTTCGATGTTCACCTCAGCAGCACATTCATACTCGCCCACATCTGCACCCATAACCACACACTTCAACCTTCATAGTGAGGGTGTGGGTATAGCTCTTATCTCACACTGACACCCACACACCTACATCCACACCCAAGCCGAGAATACAAAACAAAAACCTACTGCCAAAGATCCATGAGACGCTGCATATACACCACAATAACTAAACATGCTTATATCACCCTTCTATGAAATTTCCCTGAGTACATAGGCAACCGATCTCTACATGGAAAACAAATTGCAAAGATACTACTCATAAAATAAATTCTACAAGATGATACCCATCATGACCGAAAATCATCTAGTAGACAGAAAATAATCTTAAATAAATCAAAAGACTTTTTAGCCTCAATCTGACGAATTTCTCTTTTTCCACAATACCACACTCAATAGATCATCACTTTATGAACAATTTCGGGTTATCCAACGACTAATACTATTGCTGGCTTTCCATTAGAATAGATCGATCTTGTTTTTAAGCTTAAGTCGATCTTGAATCTCTAGTCAGGCTCAATAAACAATAATATGAGCCATCGTGTTGATTAATTTAGATTTCTGCTTATATTATAGCATAAAAGGAAAAATTAAAATTCCGATTGCATGTATCATCGTTCTCTATTTATGTTAATGCTTCCATTTTACCAGTAGTGAGTGAACGTCATAATTAATAAATCCCTTTTTTTTCTATTTAGGTTGCTGGTAATATTGCGACATGAGTAAGCCCACATTACAAGTAATCAACATCTTTATTTTCTATCTACTTTCCTCATGATCATCTAGTACAAGTAAATGAACATTACAATATAATACATGTTCTTTTCTATTTGTGTTGGTAGATGAAGATTACTATTAAAATTTATAATTAATAAATCGCTTTGTTCTTCTATTGATATTGTTGACGGTATTTCAGTCAAAGTAAATGAATGTTAGAAATTTCTTTTTCTATTTAGGTTCATGTTTCATTTTTAATATTGGTAAGTGAAATTTATAATTAGTAAATCACTTCTTTTTCTATTCAGGTTGTCGATTGTAATTTAGTACGGGTAAATGAACATTATAACTGATGAGTCTCTTTTTTTTCTATTTATGTTGCTAGTTATATTGTACAGATAGTAAGTAAACATTAGAGTTAATATCTGTTTTCTACATTTAGATTGGTGTTCGGATTTCACCATTCGTAAGTGAACATTGCGAGGAATAAGTCTCTTTTTTTATCTATGTTGCTAGTTATAATTTATGGTATTTAGTCTGATGGCATATAAGCAATACTTTTGTGTAAATAGTAGAGAAATGGAATAGCTTAAAGGGTATAAAATCGTGTTGAAACATGGGTATGAGTTTTAGTAGGTCATAGAATAGTGTGGTGTGTATGAAGGCTTTGCAAGGAGAACAGTATGATTTGCATATGTATCTTGTGCACTGGTTTGCGCATACACTTTGCTTTTGAATCCACAATAAATATTGCATACTCCTTAGGATCAGAAAGTAGAAAAAAGTGCCTGCTTTCTCAGTTTGGATTTGGAAGTATGTGTGTGCAGTTTGTGAAGTCCCATTGCTTCCTGCGTTCTAAATTAATATGTGCTACTGTAGCGGTGGTCATTGAGGTTGAATGTGCCGATGTAGAACCAAACCAGATATATGAAGAGTTACATGTCATGATGCATTTGGTAGAGTCTTATGTTGGATGGAGGACAGCTGTGTCTTTTAGCGGAGCAGTAACCGGTAAAACCTTCCAATAGTACTTGGAAGTACATTATATGGAACCTTAATTACGAAACCTATTTTTTTATTAGAGATAACAGTATGATTTTTTCACGGAACCGGATGTGCACGAAACTCAAGAGGGTCTCGATTTTATTGCAAAATTCGAAACCCTTGTAAGGTTCCGTATGGTACCTTTTTGTGTACTCAAAAAGTGAGTACACTACTAAAATCGGTCAGTGTGTCCGTCCGNACATTTGATTTTTTATGTAGCGTCGTACATCAATAAATCAGTGTTTACTGATAAACTCACCGGACTCGCGTAGGGGTTAGTTTAACCCTTTCGAGTCGATTCAATTTTTTCATAAAATAACTTTAATAGATTTATTTTTATGTACACTTATCTTAAGGGTGTGGGCGTGAGTGTGAGGTGTGGGTATGGGTGTGGATCGGAGATAACATTCAGACCCACACCCACCCTCACGATGTTTCGTATTCTTCGCTTTATCAACACCCACACACCCACATCCACATCTACACCCACACCCCACACCCGACACTCACACCCCACACCCGACACTCACACCTACATTCCACACCCTCACGCACACCCTCACCCACACCCTTAAGATAAATGTACATAAAAATAAATCTATTAAAGTTATTTTATGAAAAAATTGAATCGACTCGAAAGGGTTAAACTAACCCCTACGCGAGTCCGGTGAGTTTATCAGTAAACACTGATTTATTGATGTACGACGCTACATAAAAAATCAAATGTTTCTTAACCGAAGATAGGTATAGTGGCAAATCCAGTTCAGTGCTGAATTACGACTAAAGCGAAAAATATAAGTTACCACCTGACCGAATGGTTTTATTCCTAATAATACCAAATTGGATTGATTCATAATCGATATTACTTCGACATATACAAGAAGAAGACAAGAAAAACATCTAGCCTGAAAGTGAATGAAGACTTCTAAAGTACTATGAAGTCTCTGACGATGTTCTGCTGCTCAAAGTTCTCTGTACTTATAATCTCTGAAGTTCCTGCAGCCTTGGAACTCGTTATTTCTCCCTCGGATCTTTGAATAAAATAGCCGCCTTGAAGAATATCTAGGTTAGTATAGATTTTCTACGTACTTGAAAGTGAGCACCATGCTTCGACGCCTTCGACGACAAACTCATCTAGGCCTGCTACAGCTTGTTGCTGTGCAGGTTTTATACTGTTGAGTATGTCGTATAATTTGATATTTCCTAAACCTTCAAAATCAGTTTCATTACAATAGTTCTTGTAGCTAATAAGAGCATGATATTTTTGCAACTGAAGCACTTGCTTGGGCAGCTCGTATTTGTCCCCATTGTCCATACGTAGTACAGTAAGACCGTAAGTTCCTGTAGATCAAGAAGGAATGTAATAGCGAAAAGGAAGTTTTTAGCCGTAATAAATAGCATTCTAGAAACTACCTGAAACCAGAGTATTACTTTCGACAAGCCAATTCACAAAATGCGTGATCTTTTCAGGATCAGCTCGCTGTCTGATAGATGGTTCACTGTCTCGGGTCAGTACATACTGTTGTTCATCGTACATTCGATGAGCTATTTTAATGGCATGTCGTGAGCAGCCGAAGAGTTCCATAATTTTCTCGTAGCTCCATGAGCGAGGCAACAATGACAGAAGTCGAACATGTTCGATATAAGGCATCTTTTGTTCGACATACAAGTCATAAATCTTTTTAAGATTTTTGATCATCTCATTGTCTGTTGCTTGATCAAGAAATTTAGTATTGCTGATGTGTGGATCAAGCTGCGATATTTGTAGTAATTGATCACCTTGACCAGGAGCAAATGCTTCAGCCATTTTCTCTAGAATTCATGGGTACACAAAAGCGCTTAATATGAGAACTCTTGACTACAACCTACTCTGTATTACTCGCATTGTGTTGTTTAGTTTCGAGGTGATACGACGAAGACCACTGTTTGAATGTCGGTCCAATCTTTTTCTTGTTTGAGAGCGAATAGGGCTCATATTGACCTGTGCGAGAATACGATTCATGAAAGCACGTGAATCATCAGGCACGAATTCAGATCCATCTGTGATATTTGAGTAAGTTGTAATCGGACCTACCGAGACATCGTCTGATATCGCCAAAGCTTCTTTTCTATGCTTTGTGCATAGTCTAAAAATTAATTCAGTATGATGTAACAAAATCAGCAAATGGATAGCACTACCTCCCACCGACAGGAAAACCTTCAATCTTGGCACAGATAGTCAATTTAGTCCTGCGACAATGACGAGAAGAATAGTGATATTCGGAATCATGATCACGATGATGACACGTAGATTTAGAGTCGTACCAGTCAATTCCATATGAGCTTCGATGTTTTGGACAAATTGCCATAGAATCGTCAATTAAAATGTCGTTTGCCTGTAGCCTATTAGCAATAAGATTTCTTTCATTGACAATTAAATTGTCCTTTTCTATCTTAGAAATAACGTTTTTGCGTTTGAAATATGATTTTATATCTCTATCTCTCAGTATAGAAAAACGAACACATATTGGTGACCAATCAGGGTAATCTGTTAATAAACAAAGTTACGTTGATCCAAATAGTAAAGACTACTTACGATGTGAGGTTCCACCACAGATAGTCACGTTTGGATTACCCCAAAGGCAACATTCATTATAATTGGGTATTATTGGCTTAACACGACTCGAAAGATCATCATTATTGTGTTTTCTTACTGCATCAGAATTCAGGAGACCTAAAACTGTAAAACCTCTGAATGATTTCATTTCTTATATGAAACAAACCTTCCCATGTATTGTGTATCTGATGTTTTCGTTGTTTCATCTTCCTCCTGAGAAAATATACTAACGTATGGTGGAAACATATGGTCAGGATCAGTGAAGACGTTTGATGCACTGTTGTTACTATACACAACACTAGCATTCTGTTCATCATCTTTACGAAGACATATTGGAATGCTGCACGCAGTATCCATCAAAGACATATATGATAACATTGACACTTCGTTTACTTTTTCGTGTCGAACATTGATTAAACGATTGTCCGAAGTCGATGAGTAGTCGCTTCTAATAGTTGTTGGCTCATCTGTTTTGTTGGAAACTGAAGACATATTGCAACTTAATCTATGTTGAGATGAGTTCAGTTCAGAGCAAGATAATGTAGTCGATATTCCGTCAACCGATGCTATAGAAAAGGAAGAGGAACTATATGGATTGTTTGAAGTATTTGATGTATATGAACCCCTACTGGTTGCTATCAATGAATCGGTTTCACGAAAAATCCTCGATGCATCATCACTATAGATACTTGAATTATCATCGACACGATCAAGAAGATATGACGGTATCCCACGGCCACTCACATATCCACCATTGTTTCGATCAACCATTGTAAAATTGGATTTTGTATGTCAGAGTAATACTCTCTCGTAGAACAGAGTATGTGAAAAAACAGATAATATACTTAATGCTTTTGGCGCATGCATATTTAACATTCAAAACAGGCACGCGGACACTGATTTAACACAACAAAAACAAGCACATCAAGCAAACACGTATCATATCACAGAACAGCTAAAATACCAGTAGTTGGTAAGTGATTACCAAGAGAAAAAATACACATTACATACACATATTTGGCAAAATGCATTGTCATATTTAGTAAAGAATAAAGTTTGTTTTCTTTCACCTGACAAATCCTATTAAATATGATTGCCTTTGCTTTTGTTTATGTAAAGAGAGTTCGAAACATAGAGGAATATGATCATCGTGTTCTCCATCAAAAATTACTTGGGTCTAACAGATGTGTGAGACGAGAAATCGAACTTCAAAACTCGTGTAAAAAGTATATCTATCTTAGAAATACTCTTGGAAGGTGTCGTCCAGTGCAAGCCATTTCTAGAGATGGAACGCTAACTTTTTATAGAGTCATAGTCCAGTGAGAGTACTTTCAACCTATAAAGAATAACTCTCCAAGTAATCCATGTTTTGGGCGAAAGTGAATCCCGAAAACTCTCATTTTTGAGAGGACTCTTCTTACGTAATGGGACAACATAGACAGCTGACATTTTCAGGAAACATATACCTTTTATTGCTCTATCTATGCTGAAAATTTCAGACTTCTATACCATTCCAATCGAAAGTTATGAAGCACAAAAGCTACCAAAAATCAGCATTTTCTCGTATATTGAGCACTCCATAAAATCCCAATGGCTCACTATTTTTCAATAAAATTTTTATGGCAGATAGAACTCACTGAGATATATGTCTACAGAAAATTTCAGCTCAATCTGTTGAGTTGTTCGTAGGATATCATTGCATTAGGACTCCCGTTTTAGAAGAGGGACCTTAGTAGAGCGTTTCATAGAATGCTCCTAAATAATCAAAGAGTCTATATTTTTAGAAACGGCTTTCGTCAAAATTCTCAGAATGCTTCCCTCTATAACATATGTTAAATTAAGCAAAGTCTGACTACCTCGTCTCGGACAAACGGGGTCGAGGTTTATATGCCCTGCCTCATAATAAGGTCTACGCATCTCAGATACACCTTCCAAAGATGACTTCCGGTGCAAGCCATTTCTAGAGATCCCACGCTAATTTTTTTATGGGCTTGTAGCCCTAAGAGAGTACTTCAAACTTCTAAACGCCAACTTCCCAGACAATCCATATCTTGGGAGAACGCGAACCCAGAAAAACCTCATTTTCTTCGAAAACCGATTTTTCAGAGGACCCTCCTGATCGAACGAAACAATGCAGACGACTGAAATTTTCAGAAAACATACATCTCACAGTTCTCTATCTATGCCGCAAATTTCAGACTTCTGTGCCATTCCAATCAAAAGGTATGAAGCACAAAAGTTATCAAAAATTAGCATTTTTCGGTATATTGTGTGCTTCATAAAATCCCAATGGCTCAATATTTCTCAATAAAAATTTCATGGCAAATAGAATTCACTGAGATATATATCTACAGAAAAGTTCAGCTCAATCTGTTGAGTTGTTCGTGAGATATCATTGCATTAGGACGCCCGTTTTTGACATGAGTCATTTTTAAGGCTTTTAGTAAAATGCTCATAAAAAATCGAGGGATCAATATTTTTCGAAACGGCTTGCGTCAAAATTCTCAGAACAATTCCCTCTATAACATATATTAAATTGAGCAAAATCTGACGACATCGATTGAGCAGAGTCGGTCGTGGCTTACATGAAATGGCTCTTATGATCTTTAGGACATTCGTAAAGTTTCAGTCACAACGGATGGTTCCTTCTCGAGATATTGAATACTAAAGAAAATTCGTTTTTTGTGACCTTTTACATGACAAATGATCGTGTTTTTGAATATTTAATATCTCGAGAAGGGACCATTCGTTTTCACTGAAACTTTCAGGATGTCCTAAAGATCATAAGACCTATTTATGGGCAAAACTTCAGGTGAAAATTCCTTTGTTTGACTTTGTATGAATAGCTTGCTATAAGTCGGAAAGCTCGTAAAATGGTCATTACTCCAGAAGAAAGGCCTATGGGGACGAATCCTTTTAGAATTTTTCTGGTCTCACTGAGTCCTACTTATGAACAAAATATTACTTCGATCGGCGATTAACAGTTGGGAATGTTCCCTCGTTAGTTTTCTATGCCAAAAATGTATGAAATTTCTCAAAATTTCTTAAGTTCAACATTACAAAGTTCACAAAATCTTTACTATTTAGTACGAATGAATCCCATTTTTGACAAGCTTTCATTTGATATAAAATTCATTATATACTCTTCCCTGGAATAATATTATTTTCTATCCTGTATCTTGGGGCACTAAGTCAGTTGATCACTCCCATATATAATTTATATATTTCATGAGACGAGATTAATAAGACAAATACAGACCGATACAGCAGCATACAATTCTATATAGTATACACTCTAACAGGACGACATACTTGGTCTATCGAAAACGCATGAACAAGATATTTTACTTAACACCATCCAACTTAACCGTGAAACAAATAAACGAAAAAGAAATAGATGAATAAAATAAATCGAATGAGCGAATTCTTTCATCCAGTTCAAATATAGCATGAAAATACACAAGAGAAAAGAAAAAGCTGAATATAATGAATCAAATAAATAAATCGTTTTACTCAACTTTGCAACTCGGACAGCTGATAGAAAATCACATCGCAAAAAAATTACTCAAAGCACTTCTATTCACCGCTTTTGCTCACTTCCAAGCAAACGTTGGGAGTGGATGAGATGTGTTGAGTTCTCGATGCAGTCGGCAAAAGTGGGCGGATTCTTTGCATTTGTAGCGAATGATGAGATTCAAGAAAAATGAATTGGAGAATACTGGTTTCCGTTCTTGCGGATAAGGTGGTACGTTTCTTTGATCGAGATTTTTGTGTATCATATTGTTTTGGTATTGTTCTTCGTGATTTTGTTGTTAATGCTGTGGTTTGGTTCGCGTACAATGTTCTTGGTTGTTCTTTGCCAGTGGTATCCTTTGAAGTGTTCGTGCTGTATGTCGCTTCGGAAAAGATATGGTCGTAGTGATATTGTTGGATTGAATAGTAGTGGCAGTTGATGTGCTGTTTCGATGAATGAATGCGAGAACATTGTGATTCATAATTGAGTCGCAGATTTTGTGTTTTAATAAGTTTTACTGCACGTGTTTCCTACAACTGAAGAAAATCATTATTAATTCATTGTGCATAATTTGCTTCGTAGTTGGAGTATTAGCAAGCTGGTGGTGACATAAATTGAACACGCTCTGCTCAGATTTGTTTTGGTTGCGCTGTCTTCTGCGACGCGACAGCAAGGGAAATCAACAAGGTCGAAATATTTTGAAGGTCGCTTGGGTTGTACCTGATATGTGCCACATATGTACGAGATTTTTAATGGAGTGGAGAGCTCTGTATCAGTTATTGTTTGTTTTTAGAATTTGATGTAATTATTTGTGCACTTTTTGGTGATGGTATTCGGCTTACTGCTGTGTATTTAGCTTGCAGATGAACTATATAGTTCTTTTAAAATAAAATCAATTGAATTCGGTTGCAAAAATGGAATGTGTTTTGAGCTGTTAAAATAAGTTTAAGCGTATTCTGGTTGGTGAATGTACAGCAATTTGAGAACGTGTATATCATGTCATGGGTATGCACTGCCACTGCTGATTCGTGTCATTCATAACCTCAATAGTCGACGTATGGGTCCTAGTTTAATATGAATCTTCTAGACTTAGAACCAAAACGTGTTTTGCAATTTGTTCTCACGACTCTCACAGTCTTCGAGCTGCATGAGTGTTTGTGACAATGATGAATAAGCAAAATAATGAGGAAATCCTCACTTAAGATATAGCAAAGAATAGACGGTGTCTGCTACCTGAAGATCCATGGATACAGTGTGTCATAATTTTTCAGACGCGACAAAATTAATTTATATATATTAATAATAGTATTATAATAATATGTCCAAGGCGTATCGCTTGGTGGAGGCAACCACTCCCTGGATCCACATGCGATCGGATTCTGTTACCTTTTTTCTTCTTTTTTTCTACAGACGATGGTTTGTGCACCGCTTCCGTCCAACGTTTCTCCTTTTGTGTAGATTTGCGATCAGCACAAGAATCACGGTATTGCGAGCACAATGTTGGAGTTTTCCCTACATATCTCACTAGCTATCTGGTCAACACGCAATTAGACGGATGCTTTCGAGACAAGTAGCTCTCAGTGATTTGCCCAGGGTCATTTCAGGACTGGTGGCACTGACGCTTGAATATAGTACCTTGTACATATGTGTCTAACAACATAACCACTCTCCCATTACAACAGTATATATATGCAGGCACAAAATAGTCCCTAACTGAATGTTTTATATGAATCTTGAGTACTCGTGCAATCTTTCAAATTACATAGCATCGAATAATATCTTTTCTTGTAATAATAAAAATATAAATACGAGAATTTGAGGATGAATCTTTGGTAATCGGTAAACCCGGTTTTTTTATGAAATATCTTATTGATCGATTGAGCAAAACTTATTCTTACATTCTGATGTTTATATTTCTATTATAACAATAGAAGATATACTTTGAAATTTTTGCATAGGTTTTATCGAACTTTGACAAACATCATCTTCTGTTGAACTCAAGATGCAGGCAGTCGAGATTTTTTAATGATCTTGAGCGATAATAACAATAAACTGGTCAACGAGATTCCAGATAACAAAAAGAACACATTCATCTTTTAAATCACCGAATGTTTCAACATCGTTCATAATTACTGGCAACTTTTCGATTATATTTTCTGTGTTATTACTTATTTTAAACGTGAAATCAAGCTAAACAATGACGGTATTCTCCACATACTCTCGCTGATACTCCAACGTTGTTTCAGGTGCATATGCTGATTTCGTTTCACTCGAGTCCGAATTCCTATTGCTCGAAACTTTTGTTTTGTAACACAGTATAAGCATTTGCTGTGCTTTTACCTTTTAGGCAATCATCATAAGGTCCCGTGTCTGAAGACTAGAGTTAGAAAGTCTTTGACTTCAGAGATTTCATAGAGCTAATTCTTGCCTATCAAATGGCTTTATTTGAATAAAAAAACTCTAATTTAAAAAGAAAATCATCAGAAAACCTTTTTGAGAATCTTAGCTTCTATGTACACTTATATAGCTAGATGTTACTCATATCATAGAGAAAACTCTACTTTCAATATCTCATTTTGTTTCGAAATATAACGCTTAATTTTCTTTGCTTATCATTTTAAAAGAACTGATAGACGATCAAAAGTAACGAAAACATCCAGATAGATGATCTTTTGCTGTCTCGACAAATTCATTTCATGTGCTATCATTGTGTTGTTGTCTACTTTTATTCCTTAACTTTATTGATTCTTTATGCATGACATTTTAATTTAAAGAAATATTAGTACAATTAACTGATGAGATTTTATGCTCTATCTAAGTTCACTTTGTCAAATATTTTAACTTTTAATTGCTGAAGATATTTGTTTATCGACATATTGTTCATTATGTGTTTGCATTACAAATAGTCATTGAATTGCATCGCTATGATCATCATATATGTGTTCAAAAATCCTCATGTTTGTGTGTCTCTTTCTTTCTTATTGCTTGGTGAATAGAAAAAAAGGAAAAATCAACCAACAACAACATGAAAGAAAAAAAAACCAAAAGAAAAAAAAAGAGTTTGAACGAAAGACAAGAAGACACAAAGAAAAACGAATATAAGGAGAAAGCGAGAGAGAGAAAGAGAGAAAGAGAGAGAGAGAGAGGAGATCGAACACACAAACAACGACAAAAAAAAAAGAAAACGTACTGTTTATAGGAGATAATGTCTTTTTATTTTTAAGTTGTTGCGAATAATATTTGGTTGCTCAGGTTTGAAAAATTTTATTCAGTTTTTTTTTGTTTCTCATTTGTGTGCTTCGATTTGAAATGTACACCGAGAAAAAGACATAAGAGGGTTTTTTTCCATGTTAAAGTACTGTTTTGCACACATCAAATCAAATTTTAAGCAAAAGAAATATATAACGGTCACAACTGATGAATGAATAGGGTAAGGAAGAAATAAATCATATGAATACTTCAATTTAACAAACCAAACACAGAGAGAAGAAAAACGAAAAGAAAAAGTCACAGTTTTTGACGTTCAAATCAGACGACAAGACAAGACAATCCATGATCAATCGCATGCGTTGTATACAGATATAATGTTTTTCAGTATATAATAGAAAATAAATAAAGAGAATGAGAAAAAAAAACGAACAAAAAAAAACACATTGTGTAATAACAAAAAAGAAAGAAAGAATAACAATAACAAATCATCAAACGGTTTCTTTTTTGTTTTGTTTTCCTTGTTTGACGATACGAATTTAATTTCCTTCTTCTTCTTCGCCTTCTTCAACTTCTGTTTCAGCTTGTTGTAACCAAGTAAAAAAATCTTTGGTTGACATTTCAACAACGGCATGCCCTAAGCAAAATATTTTATTCGTTTTGTTTTATATTTGTTATTTTTCATAAGAAATTTTATTTTACCTTCTGTTTCAGATTGATCTGGATGTTTAAGCCATTCAAAAAATGCATCTTCACTTACACATTCTTCATCATAGAATATATCGAATAGTAGTCGAGCCATTTCTATAGGAATAAAACAAAAATTTATCATTTCATTCATATAATGTACTTTCCTTTTTGTATAATACTTAGTTCCATGAAAAAGAACCGAAAAGTATTTATTAAACGATACTAACATTATTTTATGAAAGAAAGTCGATTTGACTAGACTTCAACGTCTAGATAATACATGTTATTAAAAAGAGAGCTGCTGGTTTAAACTTGAGTTTTTTTTCACCCATATTTAACATTCTCTATTTACATGATAAGATCAAGATTTCAGCTATTTATTGCACTGGCGTAGAAAAGCTGTGGATGTAATCGCTACGAGATTAAAATATAAAACATGATGTAGCTGTTGTTGCCAATCACAAGGAGATTGTTTTATTCTATCTATTTTCGGACACATTTCTTCTTAATCTTTTTACTTAATGCTCTAGAAATGCAATAAGTAGTTCATACAATAGAACGAGACATTTTTCATGTACGATTTCAAGGTGCTGCATAGCAGCAGATCTAGTAGCCTGATATTTTCTTTACATCTAATACTAACTTCAGCTCTGGGAACAGAAAGTCAGTCTAATGGCCGTTTAATGACTTGTCCGGAATGACGAGAGTGAATGCAAATGTCTACCCCGATATTTTAGCTATACTCAAAATATTGTACTTGAATTGGTTAATATTAACTCCTCTTTATTTAGACTCGATATTGAATATAAATCAAGTCTAAACTTAAGTGTGGTACAACTCATAACTCTCTAATCATCGTTTTCGATGTTAATTGAAAAAGAATAATATAACTGTTGCTCATGAGATTAGAAAATATAGTTTATTTCTCAATAATAATTGATGTTAAAATTTTAATTTTAACATACTTGGTGGATGTTCAAGTTTATTAACAAAATTTTGAATAGCATAAACGGCTTGAATTTCTGCTTCTGGTTTATGTTCAATAATAGCATTGAGTATAGTCATTCGTTTTTTTGCAATATCTTCTTGAATTTTCTTTTGTGGATCACGATTAATTAAACATGCTTCCAAATAAGATAAGACAATATTTCGAATATAAAATTTTTCATTTGAATCCATATGCTATTGAAATTAAAAATCGAAAAATGAAAACAAAATGAATTGAAATTCAAACCTCGCGAATATATGTTATTATTTCTGGATCAGTTACTGTTGTACTTTGATCATTAACAGATTTAAATAATTTAACAAGTTGTGGATCAGCACGTGGTGAATGACTTTCTTTTGATTGTGGTGCTGGTGATTCAACCTCAGGTGTATCCAATAGCCAATCATATTCATTTGAAAATGATGAATCAATCAGATCGGGTTTAATTAAATCATTTAAAGAACAGCCGGATGACTGCCAAAAGTTTTGTATGCGTGATTGAGACTAGAAATAATTTATTACAATTTATATGTCAAAATCAGAAATGATCGGAGCTGTCCATCTTTGGTCAAAATTAATTTAAAACATCATGTGAATAGATCTCTAGAGATCTACAAAGAAATCACAACCACGTCATGATTGTGACCATATACAAGTGAAGTTCAGTTTTTCTTTCAATTTCACAGAACAATCTAACATTAATATCTTTTTTTATAAATAGATCTTTTTCAACCGATAAAAATCAAAACTGTTTATTTCTATGGCATACTTGTCGATTATTCCTCATGATTAGTTTTGTTTTCTCTTAACTCTATTTGCAAAAAAAATTAAGAATGATTTATTTAAAGAAATTCCCCCCGATGAAGCAGCTTCTCAAGATAAGTTTTTATAAAATAAAAGAATTAAATTTTACTGAGAATTCAGTTGCGTATCGAATAATAAATTGAAATAATTGTTTCGATTTATCGTCAGGAACACATTCTAAAATTGGTTTAAGTAATGCCATATTTGAAGTAGGAGCACCGATAAATGCACCTTGAAAAAATTTAAATAATATACATATATATATATATAATATTTTCTTAAACAATAAAACTTACCAACAATTTCACCAATGTATTGCCAAATTAGAGGAATGTCAACAGCATAGTCTGGTGCAGCTTCAACAATCATTTTAAAACTAAAGAAAAGAAGAAAAAAAAAAAAAATTTTCTAAATGTTTTATTTAAAAAATGTATACCCAGAAAGAAAAGCTTCAGTAGATAAAATATCGTCATTAAGTGCAGCATCAAGTAAATGTCCAACAGCTTTACGAGCACGTGGTTTAGCTTCTAAAACATTAGTAAATAATTCTCGAACAATAATTGCTTGTTGATCAACGCTTGATGTACGAAAAGTGGCTACATCTTCTAATGCTTCCTATTATTTTTATAAAATAAAAATAAGTTTCTTTCATTTTTTTTTTGTTATTAATAATTTTATTAAATATTTACTTTAACAGGTCGTTCTGTTAATTCCGAATAATTTTCTGTATATTCTTCAATAAGTGAATGTACACGAGCTACAGTTTTTTCTTCATCAAATGATGTATTTGATGGATCTTGATTAATTATTGTTGGTGATTCATTTGTTGAAGTTTTATTCATTTGTATTGATAAACCAACATTTGACATACGTTCACTAACACTTGATTCACGTGATGCATTACGCGATTGTTCACGACTAACATTACGTGAACCTTCACGAGAATTCGTCATGGATGAAGTACCGGCTGTATTTATTGGACTATTTACTCCACTACCAGTTGTCGTTTTACGTAATGATTGTAAAGCATTTTCACGATCACGTAGACTATTTTCACGTGCTAATTCCTAGACATAAAATAAAATGAAAAATAATACAAATATTTGTGCAAGAATTTTTTTGTTTTTTTTTTTAATCTTACACGTGATGATTGACGTTGCATTGTATAAGTCGAACCACTTTGAGATGAACCAATTTTACCTTTGAGTTGTTGAACTGGACCAGCAGGTGGTTTACCAGTACTAAAGATTTAAAAGAAAAAAAAACGTTAGATTTTTGTTTTTAAATAATAAATATGGTTATATCTGAGGTGAGGGAGTCTTTTATTTTGAATAAATTCAGTTCGAAACGAACATTCATTTTAAGTTGTGCATTTCGTAGACATGTATTCTCATCCTGGAAGTTTTTCAACTACTCAAATAAAACATATTAACGTATATTTTTGAACTTCTTAAATAATTCTTTCAAGAAAGATGAAATTAAGATTCGTGCAAAGAAACTTTAGTTCATTTTCTTACCGTCCACCACCAAATGAGCGATCTTCTTCAGGTTTCTTTTCAATGCCTGATCCTTTTGACCAGGTACGTTGTGGAGCTAAACTCATTGCCTATCAAAGCAAAACAAAACAAATCATTTTAATCATTTATTAATTCTAATGAAAGATATCTTACGAATGGTCCTTGATTTCGTTTATCATTTGATTGTAATTGTCTTAATGAATTAACATTAAAACGATTTTCTGTTCTATCTTCTTCATTTCTATTTGATTGTTGTTTAATTCCACTACCACGACTACCACGTCCATCATTATACTGTTGTTGACCACTTCCACTATAGGCACTACCAATAACAGTAACACGATTTTGATCTCGACGTTGTTGTCGGTCACGTTCTTGGTCACGTTCTTGTTGTTCACGTTTCAAACGTTCTTGTTCGTGGATTTCATCAATTGTTGTTGGTTTAGCTTCAGCACGACGAGCAACCCATGAAGCCTAATTGAAGTTTTTTTTTTAAATAAATTTATTCGAGAATTTCATCTATTCACATTAGAGAAAGTCTAAGAAAATTCGTGTGCATGATTCTTCTTTCTTAAATTATAATCAAAGGTTCCATTGCGTACAATTGACATCTTCATGCATGGCGCCACCTTCGTTATGGCTATGGTAGAATGCAATGCAGTGGCGTCCTCTATCGCTATCCATATTGTACTTATTAGAACTTGATAAGATGTACGTCATTAGATAGGGAAAATAGCGTTCTACAAAGCTGTATATGTCTCGCTCTGAAGGAAGTCAGATTTTTGTAGTAGACGTTTGTTTTTCTACTTACAGTGGTGAAGGCCCGAAGCAGCCAAAATAGGAAGAGGGCGGGGATTACCCCGATTGTTTTGCAAAGGGAAAATATCTTTCTTCCAACAGAATGCAAAAAAAAAACAGTTTCAACTCTGCTGAAGAAAAACCTTATCATATGAGACTCATTTTAGAAGTAATTTATTATTTGTTGAAATTCATTTATTAGATATTTATTCTTCTACTTACTTGTCTTAATTCTATAAGATCTTGAATCATAAAACGAATACGTGCTGATGCTTTTTGTTCTTTAATAATTCCATCTAATTCACGATAATGTTTTTCCAAATTGTTTTTATTTGCAGACTAGAATGAATACCAAAAACAAAATACCAATCAAATAGAAATAATTGTATTAAAAAATAATCATACCTTTTCATTAGCTTTACTATCAAGTTCTTTACCAATAGTACGTAAAAGACGACATAAACATTCAAGACTTTCTTCATCAGTTTTATCACGAAGTAAATATTCAATACAATCATACATGATAGTATCAGTTAACATTTGTAATTTAAATAATTCACCAATAAAACTAAAATAAATAAAGATTAGTTTTTTAATATTTTATACTATAAAGGTTTTTTAAATGTATATATTTCAATGGCAAATAGAAAAAGTCTAATGTTAACTTCAAAACAGTATTTCATTGTAGGAGAGAAAAAAAAATGTTCGAATGAATTTCACGAGACAAAATTCACAAGTGTCCGATGTCATATTATGATTATGAAAATGTCTCAATAAGATAAAATCGAAGGACATCCTATTCGAAAAAAGGTTATGACATTTTTTTTTCGAACAATGTATTACTATATAAATCAAATTTGATTAATTCTAATCATCATTAGAATATTCTGGAAGTTTTAATATAAACACGTGTATTGTGTAAAACATGCTCGATACATGGAGTATTGAATACCTGACAGACATTTACGAAAATCAGGACTGAACAAGTTCGAGTCATTCATATAAAAAATGCAAAGATTGATATTTTCAGAAGAAATTGATCGTTTCCTATATAAAAGGAAATTTAACTCGACAAACATATGTTTTCTCAAAGCAGTTTTTTTTAATAAAATCGAATTATTTAAATAATATTTACAATTTATTATCTTTGAAGTACCATAAAAATTAATGTTTCTTTTTTTTATTGCCCTTTCTTTACTGATAAGGTTATAATAGATGTGTCACTTTATTTGATATAGAATTTGTTCTTATTCTGTTTTTGTGCATATAAAACTTGTTGTTAATATTTCTTATAAAAGAAACAAAAACTAAAAAAAAATAACTCAACTCGCCAAACATTGCATTAGAATTCACAAATCGAAATATGTATTATACAATTTTTAGATTAATACTATAACGCAGGTACATCGTGTTTAATATTTTAATTCTATAGGCATTGCACTAACAGATTCTACACATCTCAAAGTAGGCCCGCAATGGTTAAACCTGTTTTCGAAAATAGACAACTCTTTTCGACTTCGTCTTACACAATCTGCTTCTTAAACATAATATAAACTTAGGAATATAACAAACTCAAAGTCTTAGGAATAGGTAAGATAAGATGATATTAACAGCAATCTACTGTACTAGAAGTATGAGATACATTTATGCAATTAATTGTAGTATCCCCCGCATCTTCGGAGTGGCTATTCTATTCCGATTAAAAATCTTCACTCAAAAGTATCAAAGTACGGTTCGATCGGGTGCGAAAATGTTTAACTCGACATGCTTTACTTGGACGACCGTTTCGAATCTCGAAAACAAGTTTGTTCTGCAAAACTCTACTAACACATAAGTTCTTAATTTTAGCGTAATAACTCGTCGAGAAATGATTCCGCAGGATTTCTTTGTTTTTAATATTTACTTTATAATTTATAAATATACTTACAAAATATTTCCTAATTTTCTACGTTTAGCTTTAACAAGATCTTCTTCTAATTTTTCTGCTTCTTCTTTACGTTTTTTTTCATCTGTTATAGCTTCAACTTCAGCTTTTCGTTTTTCATATTCAATTTCTTGTCTATAATCATTTTCGAATTCTTTTTGACAACGTGTTAATAATATTTGACGAAAATAATGTGTTATTTGTTTACCATCTTCAGTTGGTACAGTGACTTGTTTCTAGAACAATCGAAAATTTAATTATATAAAAATATTTCAAAAAAAAAAAAAAAACAAATATATATATACTTTTTGAAATTGTTTACATAATTTGGCATAGAGAAAACTAAATGCTGGTTCATCAACAGCTTTAGAAAAAAATATCGTTATCATTCCTTCTAATCTTTCATAACGATCAATTTCTAATGCTTCAAGTTTTTTTTGTAATTTATCAAATGTTTGTGGTGTTACTTTATTTAATATTGATTTAACATCACGTAAGACTTTATTATTAGCATCAATTTTAGTTTGATCAATTGGTTTATAAGGATTTTCAACACGATTACTAAAATCAGGTTCACTTGTTAAATAAATGCCTGTTTTACGTCTTGAATCACTTGACGAATTTTGATTATTTGGATAACGTGTTAATGATGGATGATTACTTGATGATATTTGTCGATGAAACGTAGGATTTGTACGTCCTTGACTATTTGTACCTGTATATGAATAACGTGGATTATTATTATCACGTCGATTAAGAACAATATCAAGATCAGGAAGATTTTGCGGAATTGGAAATGGTCCAGAATTTTCACGTATACGTAAAAGTTCACTACGATCATAGCGTAAACGTTGATTTGGTAGTGCATCAGATTTTTCATCATCTATTATTGTTGTTGGTGTTTGTGGTGGTGTAACACATTCTAATGATGCTGTTTCTGATAATGGTGGTGTTGGTTGTAATTCTGCTGGATTTGAATTGACTTCTTCATTGGCTACAGGTATGGCATCATCAGACTAAATAATCATAGAAAAAAAAGAAAAAATTATCAAATTTTAATGAATACCTGACTATTTCGAACAAATATTCGTTGTTTTCTACGTCGTTCAGTCTGTTTTACCATACTTTTTTCTTTACATAAATTTATTTATTTAATATACATATCTTTTGAAAAGAAAAAATGAGCACTTAAATGTTGTCCTTCTTAATGTCGTGCTATTATTGTACACAAATGTATTGATGTTTTTTTTTCTTTTTGTTCTCTGTATTCTTACATAAGATAGATATAGATGATCATGCGTTGAATCGATGGGTAACGAGACATACTCAGAAGGAACAAGAAAGAAAGGAAAGAAAATGGCAAGCAAAGAATGTTCTTATGAGTCATAGTATCGAAAATAAAATGCTATACCAGAAACGGTTAATAATATAGAATGATAATAATCTAATATTTTATCCGTAATAAGAAAAACAGACCAAAAAAATCTCGAATATTCATTTGTTACTTTAATTTCCTAAGAAAAAATTTTCGAAATGCTATTAAATATCTATGATCTTACAAATGAATTGTGCAAGGTTATATAGAACGAAAAAAAAAAAGAAAAAGCAATATGAAACAAAATAATCAATAGAAAAAAACAAGAAACTATGGTAAAATCTATTAAAGACAGAAAAACAAGAAACAAAAACATTTATTTTTACCGTTGTTTTTGAATCATCATCATCATCATCCATAATATTATTATTATTATCATCATCATCATTATCATTATCATTATTTGTTTTTTCAATTGTTTCAATTGGGTCCGATTCTTGTTGTTTTAGTGAATCACTACGATCTCGTTTATCTTTTATGTCATCTTGAGTAATTTTCGTTATTAATATACCAGGATGACCTGGTTGGGGCAGTTCAGATGATTTACTTGATGTAGATTCTTTATTTGCTATTGTTGATATATCATTTGATGGTAATGATACCGGAGATTTAGGTCGTGATATTGAACCTGATCGAGATGATGATGCTGATGATGTTGATAGTTGTACATTATTTTCAGTTTGTTTAGTTGAACTTTGTTTTATTGATGTAGCACCAGTTGATTCTTCATTTGATCCTGTAGATGCTGATTGTTGATTTGTGTTCTAGAAAAGAAAATCAATTATTCAATTTTTAATTTCATAGAAAATAATCAAAAACATTTGACATAAATCGAATATAGTTTAAACTTAATGTCGTAATCCAACTTGTACAATTACATAGCAAGGTGACAAGAAAAGTACCCATGACAAAAATAAACACACAATGTATGACGATAATAAGCCTTATTATTATGTAAACTGTCTGAACTTACTACGAGAATCTCTTTAGACAGCGATGCATAAATTCATTTTAATGATCACTGAATCAATGTTACAGATAGCATGGCCTTATAGATGATTCAAAATATTCTAGTAAAAATTCCAACACAGATTTCGATTCTGGCTAAGTTATGGATTTTTTAATATAAGGTTGGTACAATAATGTTTCACAATTTTTTTCATTTCGTATTTCTAACGAGACAAGTCTTTTAACTGATTAATCGCTTATAAGTTGGAACTATGAATATCTTGAAAAGCGCTCAAGTTCTTAATTCAAAGGCATCTCTAGAAAAACTGATTTTTGAATTTCAACTTTCCATGGAAACATGCCTGAATAAAAATACTTTATTTGTACAAGTGTCATGTATTTTTATTTTGCTTCTATCCTGAAATAAGAACATCAGAATCTGCTGGCATATATCAGCGATGTGAAGACACACTTTGTTTTATCATAACCCTATCCGACATTCGAAAAAAAAAACAATTCTATGATATAAACTACGAAGACTCTTTACGTGCAAGTCGGAAACTTTTTGGGTTCTATAATAGAAACTTTTTAGTATGAAATAGGAACAAAGAAACGACCTAAAATTCATAATAATCACATTCGATAGAGAATCCGAGTAGTTTTCACGATATTCATAGTATATTAATCTCTACATGATGTACATAGTTCTGACTCAAAAGTGATTCATCAGTTAGGATTTTCCTCATAGGAAACGAACTTTTCAAATTGTTTTTTACATTGTAGAATATCGTTGAAAACCTCATAAATTAAAGACAAACTTCGTGAAATCTAAATCTTTTTCGAATTTTTAATAGAACAGCAGATATATCCTTCTATTCTGCAATTGACTATGTAATTTGTTTCAATAATTTTTAATTTATAACATTTTTCAGAAAATCAAAACTATTTTAAAAACTTGAAACTAACAATTGATTGAAATTTTTTCAGATCAAATCTCTGAAAATAATTTATATCTTAAAATAAATATTCTAATTAAACTCTCAAATTTTTCGAGATATCAATTAACGAACGAGACCGTTGTACCTATCTTCAAGTCCAAAGGATACATCTGAGGACGTTTTCTCCTTTATAGAGTCTTTGACACTCTACAAAAAAAAAATGAATATGTATATCAGGATCATAGGTAGGAATTTTCCAAGGGAAAATAATTTTTCTCTGTATACATACAAATAAATTTGTTTAACAAGATACAACTTTTTTTTTAATGGTATGACATTCGAACTTAAATTTAATTGAAAGCAAGGTTCAAACATTCGCATATAAATCATGTTTGAAATGTTAATTTAATACCTTATCTGTTTGAGTATTGGAAGAATCAACTAATATTTCAGCAAATTGTCGTCGAAAATCAGCTTGTTTTTGTGTTTTATTTGGATCATTTGTCGATTTAATAGTTGTTATAACTGAATCTGTAGTTGTCGATTCAATCGGACGATTTTCACTGGTTATTATTGTAGATGATACTGATGGTGTTGTCGTTGTAGCTGGAGTTGTTGTATGTGTTGACTGTCCTGAAACTTCTACAGGTTTATGCGATACCGGATCAACAATAAGTAATGGAGTTTTTTTTCGTTTTTCTGTAACTCCTGATGATACTGTTGCTACATATGGATTCTGTTGCTGCATACTTTGTGCTATTGTAGGCTGAGATACTGATACAGTTGGTTGTTCAATCTATATAAACAAATCAAAATTGTTTTGGTCCGTAAAAAAAAAAAAAAAAATTATTTACTTGTGTATGTTGAGTTGGTAGAATTTGTGGTTGTTGTGGTAAACCAGGTATTGAATATGGTGATGGTTGTGATATTTGTCCTTGATTAGGCATTTGTGCTGGTACTTGTGGTGGTACATAATTTTGTGGCATTTGATAAGCTATTAATTCAAAAATTAATTTATTTATTTTATAAAACATATATAAGAAAATTTACTTTGATAAAATTGTTGATAAACAGGTTGTGTCGTTGGAAGACTATTATTTGCTGGTGCATATTGTTGAGGATATCCATTTTGTGAGATAAAAGATGGATAACTATTTATATTTTCATTCGGTGGTCGAATAATTGGCATTGGTGAAGGAGTCTATTAATTAGAAATTTTAATTATCTTTTTTTTTTTTTTGAGACTAACCATAGGTCGTTGATTATGTGTAGGTATATAGGAAGGTTGTGGAAATTGTTGTGGAACAAAAAATGGTTGAGAATAACCATTTGAAATTTGTTGATTAATATACTAAAAAACAACAACAAAAAAAGTAGAACAAATTTGTTTAAATTCATTATTATTAAATATATTTACTTGAGGATTCATTCGTGGTGCATATGCTTGTGGATTTCTTAATTGTGATGCTGCATATTCTAAAACAAAAATTGAAAAAATTAAAAACAGACCTTTTTTTAAGAGATTTTTCATTTTACGCTGTTCCATGGCATTATTTTGCATATAATAAGCAGCTTGTTGTTGATGTCCTGTTGAATTAGGATAATATTGTTGCTGATCTGTATTCATTGTTTGCATATACGAATAAATAATTGTAATAATAATAATAATAATAATAACAAATATATATTTTGATGTAATTTTTATATAAAAAGTTGATTCCGGTTCATCTTTTAATCATAAATAAAAAAGAAAATAAATTAAGAATAAATTAAAATTGTTTATTTGTTGTTTTTTTTTTGTGGCTAATTACTTTTTTAAAAGCAATGTTTTATAAACAATTGCTGACTGCTTTATGGACAGCGATGATTAATAAATAAATAAAAAAAAGAAGAAAATGAAATCAAGTTTTTGTGTTTTTATTTGTTATTTTTTTTTTTTTTGATCGTCACTTATTGGACGAATGAAGGTTTCTTTTGGGTAATTTGGTTAAATACTAAAAATATGTCAAAAATAAACAAGGTGTTATTTTGTCTTTTTAAATAAATGAACAATGTAGGTATCTTGTTGTATGTACTCTACGTATGTACGTCCCTCTATATGACGAGAGTGAGCGAGAAAGACACAATGATGTTGCCGTTCGTATACATATTGTATGAGAGAGAAAAGAAGAAAAAGAAGAAGAAGAAGCTAAAAAGAGAGAAGAAAAAAAAAAAAGTTGTAATGTTGTGTTGATGTCATAGAGGATTGAATATGATTGTTAATTGGTTGAATAAATCCAAATAAATTTCAATTTTTATTTTCATGTTTCCTCCTTGTGGATTTTATTTAATTGATAAGAAGAAAAAGAATCGTTTTTTTTCTTATTATCAAGATTTTTATTGTTTGATTGAAATGAATGAAAGATTTTATTTTTTTTTAATCAGATCTAGATGTCACTAGTATATGTCCAAGGGTATCAATTTATCCAGAAGAAAAATAGAGATCTTTTGCAATTGATCGAAGTTTTTTGATATTTTAGAATTGATTGTTATTTATTTGTAGGTTACGCTAGTGGAAAAAAACGACATTTCAGTACTTCGGAGTACTGAAGTGTCGCTTTCTCTCCAGGGGCTACGACAATCTTAGAATAAATAAAAGTGATTCATTTTTGAAGTATGTGTTGATGTCGTATATAGACTATAGAAGTGTTCCAGGGATGTACACAAGTCAATGATCCTGGCAACTGAATTCGTGAATTTCCGGCATATTTCTGCCGAGACACTTGGAAACATGGAAAGAACTTGGAAGCAAGAATTCTATGATTTTGACTTGAATAAGAATGTTATTTCTCGACATATAACAATGAATCACCACCTGTATATATTATAATAACAACAACCTTCAGTTTTAAGGTTTATTCGACATTATCTACTTACTCATATATTGGCACTTTTTGTTTGTACACGGATTTCTTAGATCGCATATGTACCAATACACAAAAAAAGAAAACATAAATGTAAAGTCTTTGTCATATGTAGCTTCATCTATGGATTAATATTATCAAAAGTTCAATAGTCTTGTCAGTGATGTTGATCGAGATTGGAAATATGCTATCACCATGCCGATATAATAGAAGAGCTCATGTGTTGCTGCTAAAGGACATTCAATTTCAGTTTCTAATCACTGATCAAGTATTCATGAAAGCGTTGAAACGCACCGCTACAAAAAGGATATATTTTGATAGAAATTGGTGTTTTCATGTTGCAGTGAGTGCAGATGTCAGTGAATCACTCTGTTCGGTATTTACAGTAACACTACACATCTCCACCTGTTACACCAATGATATTCAAAAAAGTATTTCGCATTTCATTATTGTGACTGTATTGAACAAGAATTATTGATACTAATCCATGAGATTCATCGAGCCTCAGAGTGTTACATTTGTGAACGTTGAAGTTCTGTGGCAAAAAAATGTTGTCACAATGGACATCTCTTCTTCTTGTTGAAGAGTAATTCATAATATTTGTTCTTTTCTCTAATGTTTTAGATTCTTCTCAAGAACGTTGTGCTAATAGTTTACCAAAAAGGTTCTATAATGCTGAATTTAATCTTATGATTTGAAAATATTTCAAAGTCTATCAAATTTCTACTTCTTTCTTACGTCATCCACTCAAGTGTTAAACTACGAACCAAACGTTCTTTTTGACGTCATCATACCTGTTAAATTTTTCTTTTGACGTCAACGAAGATAGAATATAGGAAAGGTAAACCTAATGTCAATTTTCAAATATTTGATTATTTCACGATATTCGACAAGTATATTTATCGACACTTAACAATACAAATTCTATACTTACTGAAATTGATATGTGCTTCTAATTTTTTATTTTTAACAGTAAAATAATCGTATTTATATTTGTTAAATTTCTTCTATTATCAAATAAGAAAGAAAAACAGATTAAAGATGTATTAGAAAAAAAAATTTTCTTTCTATTCCAACTAACAGTATCATTTCTCTTGAATATGTCAATTGAATTGATATATCATATGACAACAATTCTCACTTATGTTCTATATTGTTTCTTATGCAATGACGTTTATAATGTCAGTCGGTTTGATCCATTTAGGTACTTTTTTTTTCATATGACGTTTCTTTTTAAATCAAAGAAAAAAGATTAAGTTTTCTTCTTCTCGAAAAAAAAAGTAAGATGTCTTTATAACCTTTACCTAAGATTTGTGTACTAGAGAAAAGCAAAAAAACTTCATGATAGAATACTTATCATATCTTCTATTTATATCGCTTGTTATTTGATTGCTTCAAAGCATAATAAACGTCAACTATTATTGTAAGATTATTAAAAAAAAGATGCTATCGTCACTACTTCTACGGCATTTATTAATGCAACTTGTTTTTATAACTATTATCTATAAACATGAAACTAATGCTACAAACGTTACTTTCGTTCCAGAACATATTCACATAACTGTAGCTGATCTTCCAGAACCATATGCTACACCATCATCTAGTAAAGATGCCAATGTAATTCCTGTTCCTGAGAATCCTATGCTTTATGTTCCTGATGGTTTTACAGTTAAGTTATATATGAGTGGACTTACTATGCCACGCTATCTCATATATACACCAACAGGAGACATATTAGTTAGTGAACCAAGACTTCATCGAATATCATGTTTGATAGATAATAATGGTGATGGTTATCCAGACGAACGTATTACATTTGCTGATGCATCAAATGGACTTAATCTACCATACAGTATGGCTTTTGCGCATGGATACTTTTATGTTGGTAATCGAAATGATACTCGTCGTTATCCATGGGTAACAGGTAGTCGTCAAATATCTGGAATAGGTGAATTAGTAGTGTCATATGATGGACGTGGTCATTGGACACGAACTGTTGTTGTATCACCTGATACTGATCGTATTTATATTGGTATTGGTTCAGGAACGAATGTTGGCGTTGACCCATTACCACGAGCTTCTGTTCAAGTGGCTGATCTTGATGGTAGTAATCAAAATACATTTGCTTATGGTCTTCGAAACCCAGCTGGTTTAGCTTTTCATCCGATTACAAAAGATTTATATGTAGCATGTCAAGAACGAGATGAACTTGGTGATGATCTTGTACCAGATTTTTTTACACGTATTCAACAAAATGATTTTTATGGATGGCCTTTTGCTTATATGAGTCCAAATTTAACTGATCCTAGACGTCGTTTAGAAAATGGTACAAGTGAACGACCTGATCTAGTATCAATGACTCGAACACCTGATGTTCTTTTTCAAGCTCATTCAGCTGTCCTTGATACACGTTTTTATATAGGTACTCAATTTCCAATTAAATATCGAAATGGTGCTTTTGCTGCATTACATGGTTCATGGAATAGAAATAATGGTACAGGTTACAAGATTGTTTTTATACCATTCGATCATACGACTAATCGACCAATGGGATATTATGAAGATTTTGTAACTGGATTTCTTGTCAATCCACCAGGACCTGATACATTTGGACTTCCTGTTGGATTACTTGTATTGAAAGATGGCAGTCTATTATTTACTGACGATGGTAATAATCGTATCTATCAAGTACAATACAATAATAATATGACCATTACAACTACTGCTAAAAATAAAAGTCATCGTTTCGTTTTAACAAAACTAATCATTATTTGTAGTGTTTTTATTTCATTTTTCTATATTCTACAATAAAATATGCAATTGAATTCAGAAAACTTTAATTTTTGCAAAAATTTTGTGGTTTTTGTATATTTTCTTTCTAAATATCTTTATCTTGGGATTTATTTTTAATCTGCCTCGAATCATGTCGAGGTGAGATATATTTTAAATTTTTTCTTGTTAAATAAGATATGATAAAAGATTGATTCGAAAAATTATAAATGAGGAGAGATCAACAACAACAAAAATTCTTTCTGGAACATTTGTTATGAGATTTGCGATGAATCAGGATTTTAACCAAAGTTGAAGACAAATATAATTAAAATTTTCTAATTAATTATTTTCCTTTAAATCTTTTTAATTTGGATTTGATAGTTTAGCACGAATGCATACTGATAATGAGAAAAGGAGATGATTTTAGTCTCTAACATTCGTTCTTCAAATAAAAAAGCTTGTTAGTGCAATCCCATTAAGGTTAAAATGTGGAAACCATATGTCTTGTTTATCATCATTATACTAATGTACAACACACAATGTGAAAATTTCCTAACAAACGATAATTACTTTCTGATAAAACTCGATCATCACAGAATACTCTGTCTTATGTATTTTGACACGTCGAACGGAAAAGTTTTTCGTTATTTTATTTTGACTGACGTCCTTTCTTCATTTTGTTTTGTTGTTATCCACTCATTACTTGAATGTCTATTACATTTTCTTAATAATTGCTTATTATTATTCTGCTTATGATTGATTTAGCTGATAAATAACACTATTGTAAACATTTGTTGTATATACAGCAGATCTTAACACGCTATTATGTTTCTGCGATAAACTTAGAAATGCTTATATTAATTATCATCGAAAGTTAGAATTTGATCATTACATGCTTTGGTGTTACTAATATGACAACAGTGGTAAATCTATGCATCGTTAGCTATCATCTTTAATATCTATCATTTAATCGTTAATCTACATAAACATTAGAAACTGCGTTATTTAGCATATAAAAGATGTATTCCAGCCATTTAAATTTCCAACAATGCTTTAGAATGTTCTGCAAACCATCGAAGCCATTTTGTTAATGTCGTATTTTTTGAAGAAAAATAGTGATTGTAAGTTTCAAATTGAAGTTTTACAGTTCCGTCTGATTGCAATCGAAGACAAACGATGTCCTACTATTTTTTCAGAGTTTCATCGCAACGGAAAAGGACACTGTACTACATTAACGACAAGACTAGAAATGCTATAGAACATTCCGAAGTCTTTCTTGAAGTTTGAATTGCTAGAATAAACGTTTGTGGGGTGTGGATATGACTTTTGACCCTGTCTTTGAATACAGTGATGCTCACAGTCAACCAAAAGGAAATTGAACGCTTAAGACCCACCCCCCACCCAAAAAAAGTTGATTTCTGTCAAATTTATCGATTTTTTTTTAAATAGCGCATGTGATAGGGCATCACGTCCGCTATCGAATGCACTATGGTTTATTTTGTTTACGATGGATTTTAAGGGTTTTACAGATATTTTCTCAAAACGTCTATTCGAAAAAACGACGTCTTTCGAATAATTCAATGTTTTTTTTGCGTTTTTCTCGAAATGAGATTTTTTGATTTTACGTTTTCGTGCGTCCCAGATTTCTCCGCCATTTTGAAAGCTAGAAAGTTCGGGTTTGTTTTAAAATGTAGTCAACACTTGGGGCTATAACTTAATAGAGCNTCGACACCAGGTGTGAATTGTACGAGTCGTTGTATCAGAGACAATCAATATGATGTATTCAAACTGTACGAACAAGCCTATTTGACAGCGCAAGGCCGCATCTATTTGACTCGTGAAGGTGATTTTGTCAGTGCGAGAACTCACGATACTGCTTTCATGCGAAAGACAACAGCTACCTATCATATGCATGTTAGCGGGCCTCGTTATGCACCTAAAGTATCATTTTCGCCAGGACCCAATCGATCTGACAATGTCTCATCATACGGAACGACAATTCTCGATCCAAATAGTAATCGGATTACTCTTTTCGGTGGACAACCGACATCAGCTGGTACTTTTCTTTATCAATCGGGCACTAGTCAAGGTAATAAAAATCATTAAAATAAAGTGATGATTGTAATTGTTGCCTTCGTTATTGTAGGAAACCAACGTTTCGCTGGCGGTCGTGGAAGTCGTAAACTAGAACAATTTCATGCTTCGATTTATGAATCGAATGGTGGCCACTGGACCTTAGAACCATTTTTTCTTGGTGAACATCCACAGGATGATCGAACCATGCACTATGCACTCCTACTTCCTACCTCGCAAGTTCTCATCATCAATGGCGCGAACTATGACTTTTATGGATCAATTCATTATCCGATTTTATTAACACCACAATTTGATAAAGTCAGTGATGCATTTCTCGGCTACACTAACAAGCGCATGAACGAAGGTGTTGAAGCTCGTCTTTATCATAATGTCGCTCTACTATTACCAGATGGTCGTGTGTGGATTTCTGGTGGAGGATCAGCTCGTGCTGCAATTCATTATACGCCCTTAGCCGAAAAACCTCTTTCTGAATATAATACTAGTTCATATGAGCAACCATTGCCTGACACTTCCAATATTGACTTAAACGTAGAAATGTTCGACGACGGCCGATTGGCGAAAAATTCACGTGGTTCCCTCAGTGTTCCTACTGAAACATGGGTAGCAGAAATTTTCAGTCCTCCGTATCTGTTCATCGACGGTAAACGACGACCAGTGATCGTTTCATTGAGTCATCCTCATCTAGTGGATTATCAATTTGAGAGCGTCATCGATGGGAAACGCTACTATTTACTTCGTAGCAATTCACAATACATTGTGAATCTAAACCATATACCAACGCAATGTGAAAATGGAACGAAAGAAAAGTTGGTTATGATCAAACTAGGATCAGCCACACACGGGTGGGATGCTGGACAACGTCTCATCAATCTTCCATTTACAAGAGTGGCATCGACATCGGCTCTTCTATTGACAACACTTGATGCAAAAATAGCACTCATTGCACCTGCATTC